TCCTGTTACGTAAGCCAATGCTTGCTGTGCTTAAAGTCAGCAGTTTTATAGAGACGCTTCCATTTGCTGCTTTTATGCCCCATTTTATATATAACCCGAGTTTTTCCTCATGCTTTCATAACGTAGCATGATTAATAAATCATCTGCTGTCAATAATGAATGAGTACTTTCTTGTCTCGACCTGTGACATTTGGGTGTTTGTGTGATTTGAAGCCCTTCAGGCATTCGTTGTGTTTGATGGAAATATTTGTAGTGTTTGTGTGCTTTTCCTCTGCAATATGGCATTGTGCTTTATTGCTGGCAAGATTAAATAGTGAAAGTAAGAATTGGTTAGTGATGAAATATAAAATCAGGAAGTTGACTCCTTAAATGAAGTGGTCGGATCCATCGTTTTCACCTGCTGGAGCTTTTTTTCTGGTAAAAATGACTTAAAATTAGGGCTGTGCAAAAGTTAATTGCGATTAATCGCATCCAAAATAAACGTCTGTGTTTACATATATATTTGTGTGTGCTGTATATAATTATTTTGTATATATAAATACACACACATGCATGTATATGTTTAAGAAAATGTGTTATTCCTATATAAAATATTTATATTTATATAATATAGATTATGTATTTATATATATATACAGAATTTAAGAGCAAATTCTTAAATATATGCATGCATGCATAGGTATTTATATATACAAAATAATTATATACAGCACACACAAATATATTATGTAAAACAGACTTTTATTTTGGATGCGATTAATCGCAATTAACTTTTGCACAGCCCTACTTAAAATGCATTTTTAAACCAACCGAAACGCTTGTTTGTAGGGCTGCACAATTCAACAAAAATAAAATAAAATAAATGATTTTATATATAAATATTTTATAGATTTTATATATATATATATATATATATACAAAAACTGAACTCATATTGCTTTGATATATATAAATACACAAAAACAGTGCAGACATATTGCAATATGTATATTTACAGTATATATATATATATATATATATATTTATATATATACAAAAACAAAAATGATGTACTCATATTGCTATTTATACCAAAACTGCACTCAAATTGCTATATATATACAGAATATATATATATAGATATAGATATAGATATACAAAAACTGCACTCATATTGCTTTGCCATCTATCTATCTATCTATCTATCTATCTATCTATCTATCTATCTATCTATCTATCTATCTATCTATCTATCTATCTATCTATCTATCTATCTATCTATCTATCTATCTATCTATCTATCTATCTATCTATCTATCTATCTATCTATCTATCTATCTATCTATCTATCTATCTATCTAACGGTGCACTCATATTGATATATATGGGAGAAACTGCAACGGGCAATATGGCGGAATAAGTCCCGCCTTCGAAATAAAAGAGCCAATCGCTGATTGGCGTAGTATAAAGGTGTATAGTGTATATTGAGTATGTAATTTGGGACATAACCTGTGTGTGTGTGTGTGTGTGTGTGTGTTTCAGGAAGGACCGGGGGAATGGCTGACTCTGGATTCTCAGGTCATAATGGCGGATAATGAAATCTGTGGCACCAAAGATCCGACTTTCCACCGTTTGCTTCTGGACACGCGCTTCGAACTGCCGCTGGGTGAGATCATACTCATAACTCATAACTCATCACTGCTATAACCACAAAAACACAGCTTATTTACAGACACTGTGGACGAAACACTGGGGTGTGTGACTGCTAGCTTTGAGCTCGTCTATGATAGTGTGACCCCTACAATAATCTTTCACCATTCAGAAGTTTTTTTGTTTTTTTTTAATGAAATAAGAAATAAGTCTCTTATTCTCACCAAGGCTGTATGCAATAATGCAGTGAAAACAGGAATATTGTGAAATATTATAAGCATCTAATGCCAAAAGATCTCTGCTCAAACAAATGATTGGCTGAAAGCGGTGTCATATCTGATGCATTATTAGTTAAAAACGTAAACAAGATCAGCTAATTTCGAAATCAAAAGACCGCAGTAAGAGAGAGCAGCAATAGCCCTGGTAAGATCATTTCGTTTCTTTACTTTTAAATGACGAGGAGTATTGTCTGCGACTTACTTTCACTTTAATTTGCAATAGGTTGCTCGTTGGCTTTATGATGCTCATCTGCCGTGATGTGTGTTGCAGTAGCGTTGTCACAACATGCTATAACATTACAAAGCCTATAACACACACTCACACTTTTATTAGCGTTTTTGGGAGGAAATCAGATGCATTTGATTTACACTTGTGCAGTTTCGTCAGATCTCCTCCTGAAGGAGTGGTTTGAGTCTTAATGTTGAGGATATTCTGATTATTAATCGTTCTCCCGCAGACATCCCGGAAGAAGAGGCTCGATACTGGGCCAAGAAACTGGAGCAGCTCAACGCCATGCGGGACCAGGATGTGAGTGTGTGTGTGCCAAAGCCTTCAAATGAACTTAAGTTTCACTTTTAGAATCAATAGTGCTGGGATTGCCTTTAAATTTAAAGCTGATCTAAGTAAAGGTGTCTTGGTATACAACATAATGTTCCTTTCCAAGTGTGAACGATAACTGTTGTAGATATTGTTATGTAGATATAGATAATGTAGCCGTTTTTCTCATGTGTGTGTGTGTGTGTGTTGCAGTATTCGTATCAGGAGGTTCAGGAGCGGCCGCTGTCGGTCCCAGGAACACAGTGCTGTGAGTTTCAGCTTCTGCATGTTCATTAAATAATACATTACATTTCATATCATAAACCCTAGAACACACACACGTCACATGTGATCTGTTATAGGTTATATGGACTAGTGTGAGCGGGACGCTTTTGTGTAAATTCTCCTTTTGTGATCATAAAAGACAGAAGAACAACACCATGGCGAGTAAATAATGAGATGATTTCCATTTTAGAGTGAATTAAGCATTTAAATCCGTATGAAATTAGTCAAAATATTTAATTTCCCCTTCTCTCAGTTCAAAAATCTGAATATTTTCAGGTAAATATGACCAAAATAATTGGAATGGAAAATTTTGTAGAAATCAATTATCATTAATATACTATTGTAGTTTTTGTTAATATTTATGAATTAGATTTTGTTATATTTTCGGTTTTAATAGTTTTGTTTTTGTCATTTTTATTAGTTTTTTTGTTTATATTGTTTTTATTCATTTTTAATTTAGTTATAGTTTGTTTTAATACAGATTAGTGTTATTTTAGTATCACTGATATACTATGTTTTATTTTTATATTTTATGTTTTCACTGTTAAAGTTTTTGTAAACTTATTTTCATTTTAGGGATGGGCAACGATTGATCGCATCCAAAATAAAAGTTTGTGTTTACAAAAAAGTTTTGTGTTTACGTATATGTGTGTGTAGTGTGTATAATTAATTTGTATATATAAATACACACACATGCATGTATATATTTAAGAAATATGTGCATGTGTATATTTTATATATATTTATTCACAATTAATATTATATATAAATATAAATATTTGATATATTAATAACACATTTTTCATGTGTGGGTATTTATATATACAAATTAATTATACACACTACACACACATATATTATGTAAATACAAACTTTTATTTTGGATGCGATTAATCGCGATGTCTATATAATTTTAATTACATTTTATTTATCAGTTGTGGTTAATTTTTTTTTAGTTATTTTAGTACATATTAGTGTTATTTTTTTGTATCACTGATATACTATTATAATTTTGTTCATAATTTGAATTAGATTTTATTTTTGTATTGTCTGGTTAACTTTAATTTTAGTTTAAGTTTTTTTAATTATGCTGTTTTGTCATTTTTAATTTAAAAAAAATTAATACAGGGTATTTGTATGCAGTCTATTACAATTTTATTTTTATTTATCAGAATTTTTTTACTTATTTAGTTAACAAAAATAACCCTGGTGCGGATCTACTTATTAGTCATTGTTAATTGGTCATTGTTGAGAGCATTAAATCAGATCGAGTTCAGCCACATAAATCGGATCATATTCACAGTTCTGAGCATCTGAACCAGTAATACACCAGTGCTTCAGTTCTTCCCGAATGTGTGTCACAGTTAATGTGATTTATGAATGACGGTAATGACGGAAGTACCGCAGAAAACTGAATGAGCAGCAGAGTGCATGAATGGAGCTCTTACTACACACACACTCACACTCACGCACCCACACACACCCACACTAACTCTTCTTGAGTGCTGCTGATGCAGCTCCCAAGGGGGCGGTGCTAGGCAGTGGGACTCACTCATTGGCTGAGCCATGAAGCTGGCAACGGTGGCCAGAAGCACATCACCTTAATCACAGAACACTGAGTCATCAAATCGAGACTGAACCCTGTGGCAGGAAGAGACACACGGTGTGTGACAATGACAACCCCAGCCAACAAAAACGACTGCTTCATAATGTTATCATAAAAACGTTATTTCTGAATGTTCTGTTTCTGCGAACATTCCATTTCATCACTCGTCACACATGAGAATGTTACTTTTGAACGTTCTCGGAACATTCTAAATCAAGTTGTTACATTTAAAAAAGGTTACGGAAGCAGAAAAATAGAAACGTTTTTCCTTTGCTTAGGGATGCACGATATATCGGCCAGCATATCTGTATCGGCCGATATATGTTCATTTTTAATGTTATATATTTGGCCAAAATGTGGCCGATATATTAAAGCCGATAAATAATGTATTATTTCCTTTAGCTGAGACACTTGTTGAGAACTGTTTATGTTTTTAAATTTCTTGAAATATGATTGAAATCTCTTCAAAAAATGAACATCTGGTTCGGGACAACATGTGCAACGCAAATCTGTCATATCGGCTATACAACCCTATAATGAGAACATCATTATAATTGTGTGCTTGGGACGTGGATTTAATTGTGAGACTTTTGTTTTTGTAATCAGGCTCTCAAAGTTAGATAAAAATTATTCGGATTTAAGTTTATCGACCGATATATCGGTTATCGGCTTTCAAATAAAGAATTATCGGTTATCGGTATCAGCCAAAATTTTCATATCGGTGCATCCCTACCTTTCCTTTTTTTCAAAATGATCCCATTCACACGGATTCGCTAAAAACGATTAAAATCGCTGTATTCTGCTGTCAGCCCTGTAGATGGCGATCTCACTGTTTAAAGAAACACTATATTCTTGAAAGCGCATAACGTCACCATTTTCAGAAATTCACGTTTTTGTAGTTTACATTGACATGATAACGCTGTGGCTTTCAAGAACTTGCTTTTATGAAGCAGGCTTTCGAAAGTTTTTAGGAGCCCAAAACAGCCAACATTCATTACAAAAATACTGAAATGATTCAGAAAACAAAACGATTTATAAATAATTTTTTTGTCCAGATATGTTTGAGCAGACTGCATTATGAGTGATCCTCTGTCTTCTCTTATCTCTCACAGGTAACTGGTGGGGCGAACAGCAAAGTGAGTTTTCATATCTGTCATTATGAGCTCATTAATCTGACATCTGCTTTCCTATTCTTGTTGCCGTCAGCGATATATTCAGTTAGCAATCAAGCATTGCGAGCTCGATAAACACACACACTCGCACTCGATGTGCTGGGATGTTTATCCTGACTAATAAACAGATAATTTATTTACCTTTTGTTGCACAAATGTTGATTTGAGTCACAGGACAATTATTTTGTAGTACAAGTTTTCAGCAATGTTTTGTTTAAATTTGCAAATAAGGCTCATTTGTATACATTTCCTGAACAGAAATGTGAATAAACTTGTTTCCTTTTTAATATGTTGGATTGACAAGGTCAACATATTGTTATACTATTAAAACATTATTATTCTTCCCTCTTCTTCTGAGACTAAATATGCTAATAATGTGCTAAAACATGCTAGCCACATGTTAATTTATATCACCAATGTGTGATAAAACCACAGTCTATGGATAAAACATGTTAGCGTGTTACATCATGTTGGAATTATGCTAATTCATGTTAGCAATGTGCTAAAACATGCTAACAACGTGCTTAATTGTGTTAACAATTTGCTAACACATGCTATCAACATGCTAATTCATGCAATGTGTTAAAACATGTTAGCATGTTAAATAATGCCTACAATGTGTTCAGAACATGATAAAACATGCACGCAACATGCTTAATCTTGCTACCAACATGCTAAAACATGATAAATGCATGCTTAATAATGCTCAAAATGTGTTAACACAAGCTAGCAAACATGCTAATTAATGCCAGCAATGTGCTCAAACATGTTAGCTTGTTAAATAATGTCTACAATGATAAAACGAGCAAGACACATGCTTAATCATGATAACAATGTGTTAAAACATGCTAGCCACATGCTTAATCATGTTAGCAGTGTGATAAAACATGCTAGCAACATGATTAATCATTCTAGCAACATGCTAATCATTTTAACAATGTGGTAAAACATGCTAGCCACATGTTTATGTTAGCAGTGTGATGCTAGCAACATGATTAATCATTCTAGCAACATGCTTAATCATGTTAACAATGTGGTAAAACATGCTAGCCACATGTTTATGTTAGCAGTGTGATGCTAGCAACATGATTAATCATTCTAGCAACACGCTTAATCATTTTAACAATGTGGTAAAACATGCTAGCCACATGTTTATGTTAGCAGTGTGATGTTAGCAACATGATTAATCATTCTAGCAACATGCTTAATCATGTTAACAATGTGGTAAAACATGCTAGCCACATGTTTATGTTAGCAGTGTGATAAAACATGCTAGCAACATGATTAATCATTCTAGCTGCATGTTTAATCATGTTCAATTTGTGGTAACACGTTCTCAGTTGCTAGCATGTTTTAGCACATTGCTAGCAGCATGTTAATTCATCTCAGCAACATGCACATTCATTCTAGCAAAGTCTTAAAACATGCTAGCAACCTGTTAAAACATTCTAGCAATGTTAACAGCATAATAAAACTTGCTAGCAACATGATAAAACATGCTAGGAAGTTTATAAAATTGTTAAACCTTCAGACAAGGCTTTGCTAAGCAAGATTTTGTCCCAATGAACTTTACTATTATCTAGTTCTACCTCTGCAATGGTTTAGCCTGTAGCAAACCACGCTTTCTCGTGGTCATGACAGTATGTGTGTTGTGTTTAATCAGTCTTTCTAATGATTTTGCAATGTCTTTGATTCGTCTGTGTGTGTATAGACAATGATCCAGACAGCGCAATGGATGACCGAGACAGTGATTATCGCAGCGAGACCAGTAACAGTATACCACCCCCGTTCTACTCCACATCTCAACCCAACGCCTCAGTCCACCAGTATCCCATGAGCCACCAGCACCGCAACCCCCGCGGCTCATACTCGCGCTCCATCAACAACTGTGACCTTGACTATGACCATCCCAGAGGCATCAGGTGCGAGAGAAAGAGTTGTTTCTGTAATACTCATTCATCATTCATGAAACAATCATGGCCGACACAGCATGAGCGGGAGAAGGTGTTTCTCAGCCGACGTGTCTCTTTAATGGACTCATTCATCATGTCTGATCGGCGTGTCTCTTATCAGCCTTTTTTCTGATAATCGTTTGTTTTTTTTCTCCTGGAAAAGACCTTTTAAATTCGACTGTCTCCTTTGTTTCTCTTCCATTATTCAACAAGATGAGTTTTCATTGATTTATAAAAAGACTTGACATCATCGTGCCTTGCTTAAGGGCTCAATGGATTCTTGCTAGGATTTAGAAAAGCAGACTGGTGTTTTATTTCATTTTATTTTTAGCATTCATTTTACATTAACATGCAAGTAATCAATAAGGTTCTGTGGCTGTGCTGTATCGTGAATCAGTCGCGGCTGAAGGGCGTTGTTCGGCACGACGCAAAGCCAAGTCAACCATGAGATATTCACCACACAGCACTAGCCTCTCGTACCTTATAGCTTTTATAAAGCGGTTACCACACAATACAAATGTTAAAGCCGAACAATATGTATCTATGCAATTTTAATGAAGTAAAATCTCTTAAAAATAGTCCCTAGTCAGAAGTTACATGCATTATTTCGCTAATAGATGGGGTCAAACACTGTCTTTATGAGTGAGTCGGACAGTAGAGAAGACTTTTACATTGAAAGGAATGAGTCAAACTTGTGATCACGAAGATGACTCGGGCAGGAAAAACCCTTAAAGGAGTAGTTCACTTTTCAAACAACTTTAGCTGATAATTTACTCACCCCCATGTCATCCAAAATGTCCATGTCTTTCTTTCTTCAGTCGAAAAGAAATTAAGGTTTTTGATGAAAACATTCCAGGATTTTCTCCATATAATGGACTTCAATGGGGTCCAAACGGTTCAAGGTCCAAATGAGAGTTTCAGTGCAGCTTCAAAGGGCTTTAAACGACACCAGACGATGAATAAGGCTCTTATCAAGCGAAATGATCACTCATTTAAAAAATAAATAACAAAGTTTAAGTTTTATAAGCTCAAATGCTCGCCTTGCTCTGTTCTGTGTGACTCTCCTGTTCGAACTCGTTCATCAAAATGAACGAATCTTTTTGCAAGTCATTTGGTTTATTCAACGAACGAAACGAATGAATTGACTCGGAAAAAGATTTGTTCATTTTGATGAACGAGTTCGAACAGGAGAGTCACGAACGCACATCACAGAACACAGCAAGGTGAACATTTGTGCTTATAAAACTTAAACTTTGTTATTTATTTAAAAAATGAGCGATCGTTTCGCTTCATAAGACTTTTATTCATCGTCTGGTGTCGTTTAAAGCCCTTTGAAGCTGCACTGAAACCCCATTTGGATCCCATTGAAGTCCATTATATGGAGAAAATCCTTCATCAAAAACCTTAATTTCTTTTCGACTAAAGAAAGAATGACATGGAAATCTTGGATGACTAAATTATCAGCAAAATTTTTTTTAAAAGTGAACTTCTCCTTTAACTTTGGTTTTAAAAACCCTGCAGATACCCTGAACAATGGCCATATCACTTGCAAAGAATGTGTAGATTTCAGTCTTCCCAAATCACCGTGAGTTATCATCTCGTTCTGCCTAATCTTTGACTCGCTCTTTGTCCTTTTCCAGTCCGACCGGGAGCTATGCATCCTCAGCCGAGCTCAGTCATTGTAGTACCCAACTGAGCGAAGAGTTCGGTGAGCGAGAGCTTTACGACGAGAACGACTCGTACCACTCCTGCCACTCGTCCGTGTCCTACAGCAAGGGCTCGCCCGACTGGGACGAGACGCAGGGGGTGTACAGCGACGACTGCGCCTACAGCAAAGACGGAGGCGAAGAAGGTGCCGTATACGAGGAAGATGGCGATCTGTACGCAGAGGAGGTGGACATGTACGAGGGTGAGGAGGACTTCAACTACGAGGATGAAGATTTGTATCCGCCCGACCAAGAGCTTCCGTTCACTCCTACTCCTTCCAGCACCGGCCAAACGCTGGACGTCCCATCAAGACCGCCTTTGGAGAAACAGGCTTCGCTTCACCAACAGCAGCCGCCTCAGATCTCCAGTCAACCATCCAATCAGGCGCAACCCCAACCTTTAGCCAAACCCCTAAACCAGCAAGTTCCCGCCCCCCCAAAACAACCACCACCCCAACAACAATCCTCAGGTCCGATCCCATCCGTTCAGTCTTTCTTCGCCATGGCTAAGCCATTGACTGCCGTGTTTGGGTTGGGTGGATCAACTCCTGCACCAACATCTCAATCCCAACCTCAACCCGCGACAACACAATCCCAAACTCCAATGCCTCAACCTCCCGCCCAACAGGTTCCTCCAACGACAAACAAATCCCCTGATCTGCCAATCCCTGTGCCCATAACCAACTCCAAACCTCCGGCGCCAGAACCGAAACCTCCAACGCCAACAGAGGAGAAACTGCCCGCAGAGCCAGAGCCACCAATGATGGAGGAACCTCCACTTCAAGAAGATGACTTCCCCATGGAAGAGTCTCCAATAGAGGAAGTAAAGATGGAGAGTTCCCCTCCATCTCCCCCTTTCGAAGAGGAGGAACCAGTTCCCGAACCTGAGAGGTATCACAAATATATCCCAACAACACCCTTGGGTACTTAAATATATACTGTACCTATACTTTTAATAGTATAGTTGAAGTATAGGTCGATCTTGAAAAATTGACAGTGCAAAAATGATTTACGTGTTGGTCCAGGCTGATTAAAGTTTTTTTAAAAACCTTTATGCAGATATTTGGCCCAGAAAGTTATTAAAGACATCGTTAAAATAGTCCGAGTGACTACAGTGGCTCAACCTAAAGTTTATCAAGCGACTGGAATACTTTTTGCGCATCTACCCAGAAGCGCTGCGCTGTTACACTATGAGAACTCACTCGAGGCCCACAGAGAAGGAAATGAATAGTTTAATAAAGTCGTTATTTTTGATTGTTTTTTGCGCACAGAAAGTGTTCTCGTCGCTTGATAATCTTAAAGGAGTAGTTCACTTTTGAAAAAACTTTTGCTGGTAATTTACTCGCCCCCATGTCATCGAAGATGTCCATGTCTTTCTTTCTTCAGTCGAAAAGAAATTAAAGTTTTTGATGAAAACATTCCTGGATTTTTCTCCATATAATGGACTTCAATGGGGTCCAAACGGTTCAAGGTCTAAAGGACAGTTTCAGTGCAAACTGCAAACTTGTTCAAAGGGCTTTAAATGATTCCAGACGATGAATAAGGGTCTTATCAAGCGAAACGATCACTCATTTTTTTTTAAAATAACAAAGTTTAAGTTTTATAAGATCAAATGCTCGCCTTGCTCTGTTCTGTGATGCGCGTTCGTGACTCTTCTGTTTGAATTCGTTCAACAAAATGAACAAATCTTTTTCCGAATCAATTCGTTCGTTTCTTTCGCTGAATGAACCAAATGACTCGGAAAAAGATTTGTTCATTTTGTTGAACGAGTTCGACCAGGAGTGCGTTACAGAACAGAGCAAGGCGAGCGTTTGAGCTTATAAAACTTAAACTTTGTTATTTTAAAAAAACGAGCGATCGTTTCGCTTGATTCATTGTCTGGAATCGTTTAAAGCCCTTTGAACAAGTTTGCAGTTTGTACTTAAAGTTTCTTTTGGACCTTGAACTGTTTGGTCCCCATTGAAGTCCATTATATGGAGAAAATCCTGGAATGTTTTCATCAAAAACCTTAATTTATTTTCTACTAAAGAAAGAAAGACATGGACATCTTGGATGACACGGGGGTGAGTAAATTATCAGCAAAAGTTTTTTCAAAAGTGAACTACTCATTTAAAGTTGAGCCACTGTAGTCACTCGGACAATTTTAACAATGTCTTTAATAACTTTTCTGGGTCGGCAAATTTCAATTACAATAGAAGCCTATGTTGGAGTGATCCAGCTCTCAGATTTAATCACAAATATCTTAATTTGTGTTCTGAAGATGAACAAGGGTTGAACAGCATGAGGGAGAGTCATTACTGACAGAGATTACATTTTTGGGTGAACTTATAGTGTGGTTGCATCAAAGACAGAGAATTGTTGGATTAATGTTGTATGATGCATGCCAACGGTCTTGAATGTCTGTGCAGTGAACCGGTGAACGAGGAGCCGATGGAGCCGGTGGACCCGGCCGTCAGAGCCAAAGAAAACTGGCTTCGACTCTTTGAGAAAGTCCGCCGACAGCTGCAGGAGGTGAGGCAGATCACTAGACTTCATTATCTGGAGAAAGTCTACATTATTTAGGGTGACCACACGACCTCTTTTTCCTGGACATGTCCTCTTTTTGGACCTAAAAAAATTTCTAGATTACCCAAAATGTCTTACAGATATTGGATATTACAGATACTGATTATGGCTTACAGATATGAAAACCTTTTCACAATATTCTAATTGTAATTATTCTGTAAGCCATCTGTAACAAATTAAGGCTTGAAATATCTCACCTTGCATGTAATGAGTCTATAAAGTATATTAGTTTCACCTTTTTAAATTGAATTACTGAAATAAATGAACTTTTGAGTAATAACCTGTACGAATTAAAGTACAATAACTAAAAAATTGAAACCGAAAACTGAAACATGGTCACCCTAACATTATTGAACTATTGCCAATTGATTGTGTTTCATAAAGGAGTGTGTAAGAAAGTGCAAATCACAACCACAAAATGGTAGAAATCAGAATTGACCCAATTTGCTTTCTGAAAACATGTTCCTGGTGTTATTCTGAGCAGTTTAGTGCATGTTATTCATGAGAAAACGGATGTTTTATCTTAAATCAAGCCTCAATGCACTGCAAACTCGCATGCATACATTATCATTCAAGAATAGAAGTAAAATAGGTTGCAAGCACTGTTTATTTTGCAAGCACTGTTTATTATATCTCCACACATTTCCTGCTTTATGCTTATGATGCGATGAAACACCATGCACTCTAACGGCTGTCGTGATTATTTTGCAGTTTGCCACGTCCTCTTTGCTTCTTTTTTGTGTGCGTTATTCTGTTGACTCTTTATCCTTTGTTTGTCTGTTTGTATCCCGCCGTTTTGTCGTCTTTCCAGTCTCTTTTCATTGCTTTAGCGATTTGCATGTTCACTCAGATGACCCATGATGGGACGAGACTGTCAGGTGGGTCCGTTGTTGGTTGTGTGAACGTTTTGTGGTGGTTTTGTGATATAAGCTGACTAATATAACATAGTTTGGTAACACTTTACTTGAAGGGGTGTGCATAATCATGACATGACATATGACAGTTTACCACCTGACTGCTTAAAGGAGTAGTTCACTATAGAAAAAACTTTTGCTGATAATTTACTCACCCCCGTGTCATCCAAGATGTCCATGTCTTTCTTTCTTCAGTCGAAAATAAATGAAGGTTTTTGATGAAAACATTCCAGGATTTTCTCCATATAATGGACTTCAATGGGGACCAAACGGTTCAAGGTCCAAAAGAAACTTTAAGTACAAACTGCAAACTTGTTCAAAGGGCTTTAAACGATTCCAGACGATGAATCAAGCGAAACAATCGCTCGTTTTATAAATAAATAACAAAGTTTAAGTTTTATAAGCTCAAACGCTCGCTTTGCTCTGTTCTGTAACGCACTCCTGTTCGAACTCGTTCATCAAAATGAACAAATCTTTTTCAGAGTCATTTGGTTCATTCGGCGAAAGAAATGAACGAATTGATTCGGAAAAAGATTTGTTCATTTTGTTGAATGAGTTCGAACAGGAGAGTCACACAGAACAGATCAAGGCGAGCGTTTGATCTTATAAAACTTAAACTTTGTTATTTTTTTTAAAAAATGAACGATCGTTTCACTTGATAAGACCATTATTCATCGTCTGGAATCGTTTAAAGCCCTTTGAACAAGTTTGCAGTTTGTACTGAAAATTTCTTTTGGACCTTGAACCGTTTGGTCCCCATTGAAGTCCATTATATGGAGAAAAATCCTGGAACGTTTTCATCAAAAACTTTAATTTCTTTTCGACTGAAGAAAGAAAGACATGGACATCTTGGATGACACGGGGGCGAGTAAATTATCAGCAAAAGTTTTTTGAAAAGTGAACTAATCCTTTAATGTAATGTTAACCAATAAAGCTAGGTGGTTTCTTAAGTTTGATCATTAATCTGCTATGTCATGCTTATGACAGGTTGTGGTGTCTAAGTAATGTCAAGTTGTCATGACAAAGACACTGACAGGTTATGATGTAGTTATTTTATTTAACATTTATTTCAGTGGTTATAGTTTTGCCATGTTTGTGGTGAATACAGAAAACATTTGGACTCAAAGCCAATTAGCTAATAAAACCAATTAAAGCTAATACAACTCTTTCTCTGTCTTTCTCTCAGGCACGAGGAGAGACTCAGTCTCTGTGGTTTGGTAAAGGAGGGTAAGTCAAAGTTGAATGTAACTCGACACCCTTCCCTCATTTAGTATGCACGGTTCTATTAATATGCAAATGAGCCCCGCCTCCACTCAGAGATCCACTGGTTGACGATCACACGTTGATCTGATTGGTTACAAGGTCGTTTGTGACGTCAAACCGTTCTTTTGTTTTAAGGAGGAAATACTCAGCAATACTGTCGACTTATGAATTTACACATGGTGTGTCTTAAAACATATTAAATAGACACATAAACAACATTAAAAGCTGGATTTTCATCAGAGGAGTCTCTTTTTAGCCTGATTAAATATGCTCTCCATCAAACAAGCCCCACAATAAAATAAAATAAACACATTTTATACACAATCTTCATATTTAATGGCTTTAGATGATTCGTAAACTGCATTTAATAGATGGACTTTCATTAAAACATTTAAAATTGGTTTGTAATACGTGTTTTTATATGCACATTTTTGTTGTTTATACACCGTTTTGACCAGTTTTGAGCTAAACAAAATGAATAATATATTGAGGCAATTGATTCAAAGGTTCGAAAAGCTTAATTTGGATTAATCTGGAAAAGACAGGGAAACACAGAATACAAACACCAGCAACACGAGAAACACAAGGCCTATAAATAAAGCTTGACGAGATAAGACACACCTGGGAAAAACTACAATCTGACTACAAACGAGAAACTGGAAATACAACATAAAACACTGAGAACATGTGACAATGCTATAGATAAAAGTGTTGAGATTAAATAAGCTCGGCACACTCGGTGAATGTGTGCGCCAATTTAGTTCAAGGCATGACAATTAAACACAGCAATTTTCCTATTTAGTATTTTTGTCTTGTTTTCCAGTACAAACATTAAATCAAGATGCAATCAAAACTATTTAAAAAGTAGGGCTGTGCAAAAATTAATTGCGATTAATTTGTGTTTACATAATATATTTGTGTGTGCTGTATATAATTATTTTGTATATATAAATACCTATGCATGCATGTATATATTTAAGAATTATTTGCGCTTAAATTCTGTATATATATATATTTAAATACATAATCTATATTATATAAATATAAATATTTTATATATGAATAACACATTTTCTTAAATATATACATGCATGTGTGTGTATTTATATATACAAAATAATTATATACAGCACACGCAAATATATTATGTAAACACAGACTTTTATTTTGGATGCGATTAATCGCAATTAATTTTTGCACAGCCCTATTAAAAATAAAAAAAAATTTTTTTCAAATCAAAATTAAGTGAGTTTGTTATTTAAACGAAAAAATATCTGTTAAAAGACAACCATTTGAATTATTTGCTCTTGTTTACATGCATAAACTCAATTATCTTTTGTCATTTTGCTTCTCAGTGAATGCATCTTGATTTATGATTGTTCTACAGAAACACTGAGGAAGAACATCATTTTTTGCAGGGTAGTCTTGATGAAAAACACTAATGATGAAGCGATGATGGGTCTGTTTTATTGCATGCTGTCGAGGAAGGGAAATTATTTTTCATGCACCATTATGCTTGTGTTTATCTGTGAAGGATGGGAGGAGCGCTGTACAGCATTGACAGCATGCCTGATCTGAGGAAGAGGAAGACCGTTCCCCTGGTCAGAGATCTGGTGAGAAACACACTGCAAAACCTCCAGACGTCTGTGTTTCATCTGCACTGAACTTAGTGGAGACCTTTGTAACGGATACTGGTTCCTGATTAAAAAAGCATTATCTTACAAAGTACTTGTTTCACATTCTTAAACCTGGAGAAACAAAATTACTTCAGAATATTAAGTCTTGTTTTCTGAAACAAGAACAAAACTTCTGCCAGCGTAACATTAAATCAATTCGCACAATGTTTTAACATGTCGCCAGCGTATTTATAAAATGATTTATCACATTTCTAGCTTGAATTAACACATTTGTAACAAGATTTAGTATGCTGTTAGAATTTTTCTATCATTAATTAGTACATTGCTAGCATTTTAGCATTTATCTAACATGAATTAACACATTGTTAACATGTTGCTAGCATTATTTAACACATTTGTGACATGGTTTAGTATGTTTTTTCTATCATGAATTAGCACATTGCTAGCATGTATTAGCTAAAACATGTTAAATTGTGTTAGAAATCCATGCTAGCAACATGTTAAAACATGTTATATCATGTTAGCAACATGCTAATTTATTATAGCAACATTTTAAAACACTATAGCAGTGTACAAATTCAGGATTGAAAAATGCCAACAACGTGTTAAAAAAATTCACAAAATGTGGTAAATCATGTTAGTAAAATGCTAGGAATGTGTTAATTCATATTAGAAACATGCTTGCATCATGTTAAAACATGCTAGTAATGTGTTTATTCATGAAAGAAACATGCTAGCAACATGCTACTTCATGTAAAAAATGTGTTAATTCATGTTAGAAAATGTTAAAGTATGCTAGCAACATGTTAAATCATGCTAACAAAATGTTAGTAAAATGCAAAACCATGCTAGAAATGTGTTAATTCATATTAGAAACATGCTTGCATCATGTTAAAACATGCTAGCATTGTGTTTATTCATGAAAGAAACATGCTAGCAACATGCTACTTCATGTAAAAATGTGTTAATTCATGCTAGAAAATGTTAAAGTATGCTAGCAACATGTTAAATCATGCTAACAAAATGTTAGTAAAATGCAAAACCATGCTAGAAATGTGTTAATTCATATTAGTGCTTGCAGAATGCTAAAATATGCTATTAATGTGTTATTCATGAAAGAAACATGCTAGCAACATGCTACATCATGTTAAAATGTGTTAAATCATGCTATAAAATGTTAAAATATGCTAGCAACATGTTAAATCATGCTAACAACATGTTAGCAATATGGTAAATCATGCTATCAATGTGTTAATTCATGATGGAAACATGCTAGCAACTTGTTGTGCTAAATCATGCTAGCTTACAGCATGCTAAATCATGGTAGCAATGTGCTAATTCATACTAGAAATACGCTAGCGATATGTTAAAACACCCTAGCAACCTATCTATCTGTTTTCTGATACACTGAAAAACTTCAAACATTAAGCTTTAAAACTACTTTAAAATTTAAATTACCTTCAAACTTCAAGCTTTTAAAACGTTTTAAAACTTTCTGTTCAGGCTTTCTCAAGCCAGCATCAAAGTTTGTCTTAACGTTTTGTTTATATGGTTTTGTTTTTAGCATTTAAATGATCATTTAAATGTGAGTAACAGTTTTTATTATCTTGTTTTCTTTGCTTCTGCTGTCTGGAATCAGGCTATGGTAAGGATTTGTTGTAATTATTCTTTATTACTGCACCATTGTTTTTCTTTTTGCCATTACTGTCGACATCAGTGTTTTAGAAGTCTGAAAAGTTTGTCTCAGAGGAAAGTTTGCTATGGATTTTACATAAAGTATCAACTCCGTCTTTTGGACCCTTTATTTCTCAAATTCCTTAGAAGAAATACATCAAGACACAAATTTGTCACTATAGTTGAATTTGGTGTCTTGTCAAATCATCCGAGATCTCTTCTTAAATACGGTGTCCACCAAAGCGTTTTTAGCCAGCTGAAAACGCAAGACGCTCTGCTGAATTAAATTTTTTTTTTTTTCGTCAACAGGTTCCACATAACTGGATTATGTTAAACATAATTTGTTCATGTAACTTCAACATAATGGAATTAAGTAATTGTAAATGACCCAATTTAAGTAGTCTCAACGTGAATTTTTAAAGGCTTCCTGACATGATTCAAAGGCATTTTATTATATTCATTCATCCATTTATATTTCATTTGATTCAGTGACATTTAATTACATTGATAGACTTTTGCTAGATATTTGCTAGCAGTAGCACATATTAGCATCTTGAACTTCATCCAAAGCAATAGTAAATAATGAAATCAGTCGACATGAAAACAAAATGCTCCACTCTTCTCTTCTCCACAATGGTAACTCACTGTAATTTAAATGGTTTAATAATTCCAATGTAATTTTACAGTAAACACTATTACACACTATCAAGTCTTCCCCTTTTCTAAATTTCTCCGAAAAACATAAAATAACACTTAATTTTAACATTTATTCTCTCTTAATTCAACCATATGCAAAGCATGCTGGGAACTAAAAGCACTGCCCAGTTTCATTTAATGCAACACAAATCAATCATGTAATCCAACACAAACGGATTAAGTAAACTTAAGTTGTACGTATATTTAACCCTTATGCTGCATTAGGGACATTTTTGGTCTTTTGCAGTTTAATTTCTTTGACCATTTTGGCTGTTTTAATGCAAATGGTATGAAATTTGGCAAAATTGTGACTTTTTGGATACATGTAAAAAATGTGATCCCATTTTGCAAAATATGTATAACACACACTGTGTAGATCAAATAGTAACACTCAGCACCATAAAGACCAAAAATGGCCCATTGAAACCCATTAAAACGTTGTTTAAATCTGAGGCTGTCAGTAATACATGAAACATGATTTTTGCACAAACATCCTTTCATTTTGAAGCAAAAGCATTATATTTGCATTATATAGTGTATTCCACCAGATGACGTCACTACATATTTATTCCCTATGGGTGGAAATGCACCTTATTTTAGGCAATAGGCAATGTTTAATAGGTGGCCATTTTTGGTCTCTAACGCGCTAAGTGGGATTTTTTGCAAAGTGGGACTGTGATAATCCAAATCTAAAGTTTTCTCTTTGCATTTAGTTTATTGAAAATAATTGAATTTTTGTGTTTTTTCCTCTTATACAAATCGATGGTTTCGCAAACAAAACTGGTAATTAAAGGGTTAAAATCCTGAAATTGAATACATTTTTGGTAGTTATGATGAGGACTGATGCTGGTTAAAAGATTTAACTTGGTAAAAGTGGAAAATAATAATAATATATAATATTTTAGGCAATGTTTAATATGTGGCCATTTTTGGTCCTTAATGCACTCAACGGTGTTAAAAATCTAATGCAGCACAAGGGTTAAGCAGCTCTGGATGTACACATTTTTTTTACTTAACATAAATGGTTAGTGTTTAGACAACGCATTAGGATTTTGTACTGAGACATAATTACATACACCTTAATAGGAAAAACATTTCAAGTCAAAAAACACAATTATTATTAGTAAACTATATATAAATATATTATGTAAAGTGCACAACCTTTCTAGTTAATTTTTTTGAGTTTTTCATCCATGTTGTTCGTTTAGCTCTGCTGGTTGCACAGAGAGAATGTCGGTGTGGTATTAGCCCCGCCCCTCCTCCACTGTGATTGGACGGTTGGGTAAAAAGTGACAGTGATGAGCGCTGCGTTTTACCCGAAGTTGAACATTATTCAACTCTCGGCGACCAGTAAAAAAACGGCGAGCGCTTCAACGTGGAAAAAAACGTTCAACGCCTCATTACGCTAATGGCGTTTTAAATGCGCGATTGAAAACGTTTCCCATCGCCGCGTGAAAAACTGCTTTGGTGGACACACGGCCTTAGGAGAAACAGTCAAACGGTCTCTTTGTGTAATCTCATGTGTGTGTGTTCAGTCTTTAGTGCAGAACTCTCGTAAGGCTGGCATCACGTCTGCTATGGCCTCTAGTACACTCAACAACGAGGAGCTGGTAAGTAATGCGAGTCTTTCGCCCGATTAAATTTGACTAATGTTTCTATTAAAAATGCGTTTTCGTCATTTGTTTAAAAGTAATGGCTCTGCCAGTGAAATGTGTGCCTTCTGAACCCTTATAATGTGTCTCGTGTTTGGTGTGTTTTGGTGTTGTTATTGTTCACTGGAACTTCGTATCGTAACTTGAAACTAGCGTAATGTGTTTGTGCTCCCATAGAAGAGTCACGTGTATAAGAAGACTCTCCAGGCCCTGATCTACCCGATCTCCTGCACAACGCCGCACAACTTCGAGGTGTGGACGGCCACGACGCCCACCTACTGCTACGAGTGTGAGGGTCTGCTGTGGGGCATCGCTCGCCAGGGCATGCGCTGCTCCGAGTGCGGCGTCAAATGCCACGACAAGTGCCAGGACCTTCTCAACGCCGACTGCCTGCAGAGTGAGACTTTAATGCTAATGTGCCCTATTTTAACGTTATGGTCTAAACGAACGGCACATGTGCACTTTCCCAGATTTTTTTTTTTGCTAGTTTAACGACGAGACAAATGGTCGGCGCTCCCGGTGCATGGTCTAAAAGGGTCGTCTCTATTCTCTTAAAGGGATAGTTGACTTTGAAATTCATTTTTGATATGTTTTATCTTACCTCAAGGGCATCCAAGATGTAGGTGTCTTTGTTTCCGCAGTATTTTCAATTTTGCCTTTTTTCAGTCAAACCGTTGTTGTCTATCAGTCACACACTGGAGGCTAAGGGGGTCCACCAAAGAGCAGCACAGAGAAGTCCAAATTAAACATGATTTAATGACTCGTAATGTAAGTACACATTGATGGCCTAAGACACGAAACGAGCGGTTTGTGTGAGAAAACCAACAGTATTTATATCGTTTTACCTCGTGTAATCACAGCCACGACAAAATGATCTGACGGCACGGGCGCTTCGGTCTGGAAGTGATCGCTTGCGTGTGACGTCACTCTTTGTTTATACAGAGATTTGGGAAGTTTTACCTTTCACTAAACATATTTATATATACGGGAAACCGCAATGGAAGACGATTTCGCTATATCTAAATATGTTTAGTAAAAGGTAAAACTTGCGAAATCTCCGTGTAAATATTGAGTGACGTCACACGCGGCGTAACATTGAACTGATTCAGTTCGGTTCAGTTGGACATTGAACAACTGATTCAGATCACTATGATTACAAGAGGTAAAAACGATATAAATACTGTTGGTTTTCTCACACAAACCGCTCGTTTCGTGTCTTAGGCCATCAGTGTGTACTTACATTTACGAGTCATTAAATCATGTTTAATTTGGACTTCTCTGTGCTGCTCTTTGGTGGACCCCCTTAGCCTCCAGTGTATGACTGATAGACAACAACGGTTTGACTGAAAAATGTCAAAATTGAAAATACTGTGGAAACAAAGACACCTACATCTTGGATGCCCTTGAGGTAAGATAAAACATATCAAAAATTAATTTCAAAGTGAACTATCCCTTTAAAATTATTTATATTGTTATGCTTTTTAAAATGTTACTTTTCATGCTAAAATTTTAAAGGTCAAAGGCCACGTTATTGTCTCCTGAAAGAAAGAATCGACTCTGAACTGCCCAAACGAGTCGTCAGCATTTACAGTCTCACTTCCTATTACAAAACCTACATAACAATGTAACAAATTTGCATAATACCAGCATATGGTTTTCATTGGCTGCCGGCGAACAGCGTCTCCTTAGCTCCGCCCTCAAACACTGCAGTTGTAGCTGAGACTGGAAGAGTTTGGTTTGTGTTGTCTTGTAAATCCACTTTTCTGCGCTTCAAAAGGACGAGGACTCGCGCTGGAACTGATACGGAAATACAGACGCCGTCGTTTCGATCACTGTGAATCAAGTATTGCAATGCAGATATGGAAATAGGCATTTGGTTGTACGTGGTCGACCAATCACAGCAGAGTGGGCCGTCTGACCAATCAGAGCTGAGCTGCTCTCAGAAAGGCGGGGTTTAGAGAGGCCGAACCGTTTCAGACAGCTGATGCTGCAGTCGAGATTATAAGGAAATGTTGACTTTGGGTGCATGTAAACCTTTTGTCAACATTAGCGACCTTTAAAATAGCATAAATGAGGCATTTGATCTTATAGCTAGACAAATTACTGGAAAATTGAAAATCGTAGAAAGTTTTGGAAGTTTTTCTTACGCAGTTTTCTGAGAATCTTCACATCAAAGAAATTGAGCTTGTGTAAGAAGCTTTGTGCAGTCCATAGACATATACACTAGACCTCACCTTGGATACGGCAGTTCATTGGAACGAATGCGTCAATAGAGCCGCCATCTTGAAACAGGGGAGCCCCTCCACTTTAATGCATCAGCGTCAATGTAGTAGACACAGGTCTAACGGAAATAAAATCACCATAAATCATCATGAATGCGATTTTTCTTGCTTTTTTGGTTTGTTCCAACGGCCAGACATGTATTCATCATTGATTCCAGAAAGACATTTTTTTTTTTTTTAAACGTTCTTCCTAGTTCAGATTTCATCCGTGAACATCATACGCTGCACAAAAGTCCACCACCATCAATGAATTCGACGTAAAGGCAGAGATAGCAGCGTTACCTAGCTACTTCCTATGACAAGACCCCTGTTCCAAGATGGCGGCGGTTTTGACGTATGCTTAGAACCCCAAGGTGAGGTCTAGTGTATATGTCTATGTGTGCAGTCATTAGAGCTGATGTTGTGGATGTGTCCTTCAGGAGCTGCTGAGAAGAGCTCGAAACACGGCGCTGAGGATCGAACGCAGAACATCATCATGGTCCTGAAGGACCGCATGAAGATCCGCGAGCGCAACAAACCTGAGATCTTCGAGCTGATCCAAGAAGTGTTCGACATTCCCAAGGCGAGCCACGGGACTCAGATGAAACAAATCAAGCAGAGCGTTCTGGACGGGACGTCCAAGTGGTCGGCCAAAATCAGCATCACAGGTGATTTGACTGATGCCTTTATTCACAGCTACTTTACATTGCATTGAAGTTATACATTTGATCAGTTCATGCATTCGCTGGGAATCGAACCTACGACCCATGAAGTCATGCTCTTGTGTCAAAAAAAAACATGAAATATAATCTACACTCACCTAAAGGATTATTAGGAACACCTCATTAATGCAATTATCTAATCAACCAATCACATGGCAGTTGCTTCAATGCATTTTGTGGTGTGGTCCTGGTCAAGACAATCTCCTGAACTCCAAACTGAATGTCAGAATGGGAAAGAAAGGGGATTTAAGCCATTTCGAGACACAGTCTGCTCAGTTACTGGGATTTTCACGCACAACCATTTCTAGGGTTTACAAAGAATGGTGTGAAAAGGGAAAAACGAAAATGAAAATGGGCGAAAATGCCTTGTTGATGCTCGAGGTCAGAGGAGAACGGGCCGACCGATTCAAGCTGATAGAAGAGCAACTTTGACTGAAATAACCACTCGTTACAACCGAGGTATTCAGACAACACACACAACCTTGAGGCGGATGGGCTACAACAGCAGAAGACCCCACCGGGTACCACTCATCTCCACTACACATAGGAAAAAGAGGCAAGAGCTCACCAAAACTGGACAGTTGAAGACTGGAGAAATGTCGCCTGGTCTGATGAGTCTCGATTTCTGTTCTCGATTTGGCGTAAACAGAATGAGAACATGGATCCATCATGCCTTGTTCCCACTGTGCAGGCTGGTGGTGGTGGTGTAATGGTTTTCTTGGCACACTTTAGGCCCCTTAGTGCCAATTGGGCATCGTTTAAACGCCACGGCCTACCTGAGCATTGTTTCTGACCATGTCCATCCCTTTATGGCCACCATGTCCCCATCCTCTGATGGCTACTTCCAGCAGGATAAATAATGCACCATGAATCATGTCAAATTGGTTTCTTGAACATGTCAATGAGTTGACTGTACTAATATGGCCGCCACAGTCACCAGATCTCAACCCAATAGATCATCTTTGGGATGTGGTGGAACGGGAGCTTCATCCCACAAATCTCCATCAACTGCAAGATGCTATCCGATCAATATGGCCCAACATCTCTAAAGAATACATGTTGAATCAATGCCATGTAGAATTTAGGCGAAAGGGGTCAAACACAGTATTAGTGTGGTGTTCCTAATAATCCTTAAGGGAGTGTATATTGCATCATCTAAATAGCCATCTGTAAAAGTATTTGTTTGTTTTCTGTCAGTGGTGTGTGCTCAGGGTCTCCAGGCGAAGGATAAGACGGGTTCGAGTGACCCTTACGTCACCGTACAGGTGGGGAAAACCAAGAAGAGAACCAAGACCATCTACGGCAATCTCAACCCCATCTGGGACGAGAGCTTCCACTTGTGAGTGATGGATCAAAGCAAAATATGCAATCAAAATTAAACTGTTTAGTGTCTTAAATTAAAAATCGGTCTTATTGAATGATTCATCAGTGCATGTTAATCTGATGGAGAAATGTGTTGTTAAATCAATGTTATTTTAGAATCATTGATTATACTTTTTGTTAATATTTTAAATGACATTTTATTTGTATATTTTTTGGTTACATTTTAATTTAAAAGTTTTTGTACAGTTGTTTTAGTAATTTTTATTAGGTATTTTAAAAAATATTGTCTGTATATTTTTATAAAGGTTCGTCAGTTAACATTAGCTAACTACATTAGTTAGCATGAACTAATAATGAACTGCACGTATACAGCATTTAGTAATCTTTGTTAATGTGAACTTTACGTAAAAAAAACTTATCTCGTTATTTTTACTTAATAAGTTGTTAAAACGACATAATATCTCGTTATAAAGACATAAGTCGTTATTTCGACTTAAGTCCTTAAAAAGACATAATATCTCGTTATAACGACATATCTTGTTAAAACGACATAATATCTCGTTATAACGACATAATAAGTCGTTAAAACAACATTATCTTGTTAAAACAACATAAGATCTCGTTATTTCGACTTAAGTCGTTAAAAGGACATAATATCTCGTTATAATGACATATCTTGTTAAAACGACATAATATCTCGTTATAACGACATAATAAGTCGTTAAAACGACATTATCTTGTTAAAACAACATAAGATCTCGTTATAACGACATAAGTCGTTATTTCGACTTAAGTCGTTATTTCGACTTAAGTCGTTAAAACGACATAATATCTTGTTATAACGACATATCTTGTTAAAACGACATATCTCGTTAAAACGACATATCTCGTTAAAACGACATATCTCGTTATAACGACATAAGTCGTTAAAACGCCATTATCTTGTTAAAACAACATAAGATCTCGTTATAACGGCATAAGTCGTAATTTCAACTTAAGTCGTTAAAACTACATAATATCTCGTTATAACGACATATCTTGTTAAAACGACATAATATCTCATTGTAATGACATAATAAGTCGTTAAAACGCCATTATCTTGTTAAAACAACATAAGATCTCGTTATAACGACATAAGTCGTTATTTCGGCTTAAGTCGTTAAAACGACATAATATCTCGTTATAACGACATAATAAGTCATTAAAACGACATATTATCTTGTTAAAACAACATAAGATCTCGTTATAACGACGTAAGTCGTTATTTCGACTTAAGTCGTTAAAACTGTATAATATCTCGTTATAACAAGATATTATGTCGTTAGAACGACTTATTAAGTCCAAATCAGTCGTTATTGCGACTTAAGTCGTTAAAACGGCATAATATCTCGTTATAATGACATAAGTCGTTATTTCGACATAAATATTTCTTTATTTCGACATAAGGGGCGCATTCCAATATGCGTTAAGCTATATAATTTAGTGTTTGTATAATGCCTTTTATGTCACTGTCATTATAACAAGATATTATGTCGTTAGAACGACTTATTAAGTCCAAATAAGTCGTTATTGCGACTTAAGTCGTTAAAACGGCATAATATCTCGTTATAACGACATATCTTGTTAAAACAACATAATATCTCGTTATAATGAAATAAGTCGTTATTTCGACATAAATATTTCGTTATTTCGACATAAGGGGCGCATTCCAATATGCATTAAGCTATATAATTTAGTGTTCGCATAATGCCTTTTATGTCACTGTCGTTATAACAAGATATTATGTCGTCAGAACGACTTATTAAGTCCAAATAACGAGATAAGTTTTCTTTTTTTTTTTTCTCACCTTGCGGTTCAGGGCTTCGGTATACTACTACTAATACTTTATTAAAATCTTGTTAACATTAGTTAATCCACTGTGACCTGACAATGAACAAAGATTGACAAACACAGTAACAAATGGATTGCTCATGGTTAGTTAATACATTAACTAGTGTTAACTAATGAACCTTACTGTAAAGTGTTGCGTATGAAGTTTTTAATTTCTGTGGTGTGCAGTGAGTGCCATAACTCTTCAGACCGGATAAAGGTGCGCGTCTGGGATGAGGATGATGATATCAAGTCTCGTGTAAAGCAACGGTTCAAGCGCGAGTCTGACGACTTTCTGGGACAGACGATCATCGAAGTGCGAACGCTCAGTGGAGAAATGGACGTCTGGTACAACCTAGGTAAGTCAAAGTGATTGTTTACTTATTATAGAAGTGGCTCGAGCAATATATGAGGGAATTATTAATGTCTCTCTCTCTCTCGCTCTCTCTCTGAATAGACAAGCGGACGGATAAATCGGCCGTATCAGGAGCGATCCGCATGCACATCAGTGTGGAGATTAAAGGAGAGGAGACCGTGGCTCCGTACCACGTTCAGTACACCTGCCTGCATGAGGTACATGCAAATATATAAAACACACATCGGACCCTATCATACACCCGGCGCAGTGCTGCGTAAGGCACGACACGAGTGTGTTTTACTCGTTTCAGCCCGACGCATTTTTCATTTTTCAAGTCGACCAGTTTTCATGTCTAAGTTTTTTAAATAGCAAATATTACTATTTACTTTCACTCATAAATGCCACATTACAGTATTTCTCAAGGGTTTTTATCTGTTCTGTGTTAATAGTGTTTTCGTCTGTTTTATACTTTAAAATCTCATTAGACCAAAATGTCACCACATATTGCATATTAAAAACCATATTCATTCTGGTTGTCTGCAAATTTGTCATTTTGCTTAGAATTTTCCTCATATTTTTGAGGTAAAGATTATGCTGGCATGGAAACCAGTGTTATTTTAGTATTATTTATACAATATTTAAATTTAATTATTTAAATTTAGCTCTTATTAAAACTATGTTATTTTTAATATATTGTGTGTAATATATTAATGTTATAATTATTTTTATAATACCTTTATTTTTATTTTTTATTTTTATAATTTAGAAATTTTGGAATGTGCTTTTGTCAGTTTTAGTATTTGTCAGTTTTAGTATTTTAGTATGTCAGTTCAGTTTTTTTTTAGATATTACTATTTAGGTTTAATTAATTTTTACTTAAGTTTTAGGTTTAATTAATATTTATTTAAGTTTCAGATTTAATTAATTTATTTTAATTTTAATAATTATTTTAATTTTTTTTTATTTAATTTTAATAATTTTTTAATATATTTTTTTATAATTGTTTTATTTTAATAATTATTTTAATAATTTTTATTTCGTAATTGTTGTCCTTTAACATATTTTAGTTATTTGCCATTTGTTTTGTTTGTTTTTTTTTTTTCATAAAATGTGAAATGTAATATTTTTTTATTTTTTTATTATTAATTATCATTATAATTATAATTATAATTATTATTATTAAAAAAAATGTCTTAAATAGTTTTAGTTAGCGATAATAACCCAGCTGTAAACTGATTGCTCACACCTGATTGGGACGTAAATCTGTGTAATCGGTGCGTTGAAAATCTTCAGGAATAATCGGTGACTGAGTCCTCAACCCATTTTTGATTTTTAGCACATCTTCCACTACACCACGGAGAAGCAGAACAGCGGCGGCGTGAAGATCCCCGACGCCAAAGGCGATGACGCCTGGAAAGTGTATTACGAAGAGACGGCGCAGGAGATCGTGGACGAGTTCGCCATGAGATATGGAGTGGAGTCGATCTATCAGGCCATGACGTAAGTAGACTGAACGAAGCAACCAATGTAGGAACTGGAGTGAATGCATGAAACATATTCCACAAATATGGATCAAAATAGCATGTGAAACTCTTAAAGGTGATATATTATGCCCCTTTTCACAAGATATAATATAAATCTATGGTGTCCCCATAATGTGTCTGTGAAATTTCAGCTCAAAATACTCCCGGATCATTTATTATAGCTTGTCAAATTTGTCTATGTGAGCAAAAACGTGTGCGTGTCCCTTTAAATGCAAATGAGCTGCAGCTCCGCCTCTGTTTTAGGCCTGTAACTACTCCTTTAAGGCCTGTAAATGCCAGTAACCTTGTGCTCTGTGTTTGTGTTTAGGCATTTTGCATGTCTGTCCTCGAAGTACATGTGTCCCGGTGTGCCTGCGGTCATGAGCACACTTCTGGCCAACATTAACGCTTATTACGCCCACACCACACAGTCCTCCAACAACGTGTCCGCCTCCGACCGCTTCGCCGCATCCAACTTTGGGGTCAGTTCACATCTCAACCACATAAAGCTCATTTAACTCACGTTTAAAACATTGGATAGCTACAGCTGGATGCAAATAATGACATAAAATAAGATAAGCATAGTAGATATCTGTTTTAATAATTGTTGTGTTGTTGGATTACACTACTGGCCAGGAAGAAATTAATTAGGGCTGTCAAACGATTAATCGCGATTAATCGCATCCGAAATAAAAGTTTTTGTTTACACAATATATGTGGGTGCACTGTGTATAATTATTTAATATATATAAATACTATTTATAAATACACACACACGCTTGTTTATATTTAAGAAATATGTTCATGTATATACTGTATATAGATTTATATTAGGGCTGTGCAAAAATTAATTGCGATTAATCGCATCCAAAATAAAAGTCTGTGTTTACATAATATATTTGTGTGTGCTGTATATAATTATTTTGTATATATAAATACCTATGCATGCATGTATATATTTAAGAATTATTTGCGCTTAAATTCTGTATATATATATATATATATATATAAATACATAATCTATATTATATAAATATAAATATTTTATATATGAATAACACATTTTCTTAAATATATACATGCATGTGTGTGTATATATATATATAAAATAATTATACAGCACGCACAAATATATTATGTAAACACAGTCTTTTATTTTGGATGCGATTAATCGCAATTAATTTTTGCACAGCCCTAATTTATATATAATATGTAAAAATATAAATATTTTATATATATAAATAATATTTTTTCTTAAATATACATGCATGTGTGTGTATTTATATATATATATATACAAAATAATTATATTTAGTGCACCCACATATATTATGTAAACACATACTTTTATTTTGGATGCGATTAATCGCAATTAATTGTTTGACAGCCCTAAAATCAATACTTTTATTCAGCAATTAAATTGATCAAAAGTAACATTACAGATATTTATAACCATGCATACGATTATTTTGAACTTTCTATTCATCAAAGAATCCTGAAAAACTAAATGTATCACAGTTTCCACTAAAAATATGAAGCTGTTTTCAACATTGATAATAATGATAAATGTGTCTTGATCATCAGATCCTCATATTAGAGTGATTTCTGAAGGATCATGTGACATGTGATAAATTCATAGGAATAAATTACACTTTACTGTATATTCACAAACATAATATTTCAGATTTTATTGTATTTTTGATCTAATAAACGCAGCCTTGGATAGCAGAAGGGATTTTTTTTTCGTTTAAAGTTTACATTTTACATATGTTAACTTTTGTTTGCAGAAAGAGAGGTTTGTGAAACTGCTGGATCAACTGCACAACTCGCTGAGGATCGACCTCTCGATGTACAGGGTATATTCACACACTCTCCTGGATGAATAATGAATATTATTGAGTAATGAGTATAACTTGTATTGATCTATTGATTACTGAAGAATTGTAGTTGTTGTAGAGTGTGTATTTGTGTTTGTAACGTGTGTGTGTGTGTGTTTCAGAATAATTTTCCAGCCAGTAGTCCTGAGAGGTTACAAGATCTGAAGTCCACTGTAGATCTTCTGACCAGCATCACTTTCTTCCGAATGAAGGTTTGCTCTGTTTTCTTCTATTATGCTTTCTCAGATATTCTCTTTCATATAGTGTGTATTAAAGTGGTTTGTGAATGTAAAACATCTGTGCAGATATATGGAGTGTTTGTCTCCTAAAAGAGACAAGAAACGAGCCGTCAATAATTTAGTCTGCCGAACCTGCGCAGGTTTGGAACTCATTAGCATAATGCCAGCCTCTGGTCTTGATTGGCTGAACAGCGTCTCTTAGCTCCGCCCTCAAACACTAGTGTATCTGAGACTGGAAGAGTTTGGTTTGTGTTGTTCGCGTCGAGACTCGTGACTGTCCGTATCAAGAGCTGAGATTCAACTAATCACAGCAGACTGTGCCATCTGACCAATCAGAGCAGAGCAGCTCTCAGAGAGGCGGGGTTTAGAGAGACTGAATCTTCGAACGAACCGTTTCAGACACTGAGAGAAAAGAGCTGATGTTGCAGTGCAGATTATGAGGAAATAAGTGTTTTTTTTTTTACCTTGAATGAATGTAAACCAGTTGTAGGAGACTCCAGAACAACTTTGTGAGTAGTTAGTGTTTTATAACATCTCATGGCCGAGAAGAATAACTGTTGGTGTGTGTGTGTTTTCAGGTCCAGGAACTGCAGAGTCCACCGAGAGCGAGTCAAGTCGTCAAAGACTGTGTCAAAGCGTGTCTCAACTCAACGTACGAGTACATCTTTAATAACTGCCATGAGCTCTACAGCCGAGAATACCAGAACGACCCAGTGAGTATGTGTGTGTGTGTGTTCTGATTGACAGCTGCTCCACCCTATCAAATGAGACACAAAGTTATTAAAGGAGTAGTTCACTTTTAAAAAACTTTTGCTGATAATTTACTCACCCCCATGTCATCCAAGATGTCCATGTCTTTCTTTCTTCAGTCGGTTTTTAATGAAAACATTCCAGGATTTTCTCCATATAATGGACTTCAATGGGGTCCAAACGGTTCAAGGTCCAAATGAGAGTTTCAGTGCAGCTTCAAAGGGCTTTAAACGACTCCAGACGATGAATAAGGGTCTTATTAAGCGAAACGATCGCTCATTTAAAAAATAAATAACAAAGTTTAATTTTTATAAGCACAAATGCTCGCCTTGCTCTGTTCTGTGATTCTCCTGTTCGAACTCGTTCATCAAAATGAACGAATCTCAAACAAAAACACGCATCAGAGAACAGAGCAAGGCGAGCATTTGAGCTTATAAAACTTAAACTTTGTTATTTATTTATTAAATGAGCGATCGTTTCGCTAGATAAGACCCTTATTCATCTGTTTTATGCTGTTTAGTAATTCAGAGCAGAAGTTCTTCTCATGGAAAATGAAATATTGATTATGGTAGAGGTGTTGTGGCAGTTATGAATGGAGAAGAGCTGCAGTGTGTCGTATGTCTCTCTCTCTCTCTCTCTCTCTCTCACTTGCACTGCAGAACATTATTAGCAAGATGGAAAACACTCAAAACAGGTCTTGAATTTTTGACGCCTCATAACCGTAGCGCTTACTGATGCTCCCTGTGTGTGTGTGTGTGTGTGTGTAGATCTAAGACAATTATAGGCCGTAAATGCACAGGAGGCATTCTTGCTTGCGTTATTTCTAGGGATGCACCGAATATTCGGCCGCCGAAAATTTTCGGCCGAAAATGGCCCAAAAGTGCATTTTCGGTTTTCGGCCGAAAGACTTTTATCACCGAAACAATACGGCCGAAATGTTGTGATGACGCAAACAGAAACCGCGACCTGCACGTGCTTGTCTGAAGCAACATGTCCGCGGTGTGGACGTATTTCAGTGTATCTGAACCCGCGATGAGACGGAAACCTTGTTTATCCACCTATATCTGCTCTAAACAATGCGTGCCGCCATGACGACGACTCCGGTTGCGAGCGGGTCAAGAGCGGTGCACGCGCTGTCTGTGGAGACACGCGGTGCGGAGGCAGGCGAAAGTATAAACAAGGCAGCGCGAGTCTCCACAGACAGCGCGCGCACCGCTCTTGACCCGCTCGGAACCGGATTCGTCGTCATGGCGGCGCGCATTGTTTAGAGCAGATATAGGTGGATGAAACAATTAGAAATTATAAATAAGCCTCGCGCAGCGGAGGCAGGCGAAAGTAAACAAGGCAGCGCGAGTCCCCACAGACAGCGCGTGCACCGCTCCAAACGGTCGAGGCGTTTATACTTGACGCGCACTCCGTTGCGCGTCTTGTTGTACTATTCCTTGAAACGACAGGGGACGACTCAAGTACCTGTCCTCTAACCATCAGGAATCGATGAGAAGAAGACAGATAAATACATGACAATGTTTATTTTTTAGTATTCCACCAATACAAAAATAATCATGTAAAACCCAGTAAACCCTGAGATTATTGCTTGTTACATTACAAAAAAAAATATGTATATGGGAACATGTATGTATAGAACTAAATTAATGCTCTCTTAAATATTTTCTACATTCACTAAACATGTTTCATTAAGTTTCATGTACATTTGTATTAAACATGGACCATTGTTCATTTAAAAAGGCTTTTTATACTATTGTATGCTAAATTTTTAAAATGCAACTAATTTAGACATGCAAACTGGGTTCTAGTGTGATGAGAAGTTTGCGCTCGGCTTTGTTTTTGAGAGAACATTTCATTTTAAAACCTTTCTGCAGGCCAGTAGATTATTATTTAGTGTGCACATGAGTGGGGTCAAGTTAAACATTTTAGTTTGAATTTTATTTTATACTGTGCATTGTGCTAAATAAATATTTGCATATATTGTAATTGATTTATTCTTTGAAAATGTTATATTAATTTATGCAATTGCAATGCCTTGATTTTAGTAAAGTTTGTACACAGTCATAGCCATAAATGCAATGATACTAATAATTGGCATAATTTATTTCGGTGTTTCGGTTTTCGGTTTTCGGCCTTGGCTTCCTCTTTTTCGGTTTTCGGTTTCGGCCAAGAATTTTCATTTCGGTGCATCCCTAGTTATTTCTGTAATTGTCAATTTGTTTTCTCCAGTAACCGTGAGCGGCTGCGCTACAGCAAAATGTTTCTAAAAAATGACATTCATCTAAACATTCTTAAATCAAGATGCATTGACTCGAGATGCGTCACATGGTCAGAACAATAATCTTGTTTTTCCATTAAACAGGGTTTTCTGACCCCGGCATTGGGAGATATTTGTTCTTGTTTTAAAGAGGCTGGATGTAGAATTCAGAAACCCTTGTTATAGCGACACCGGTGGCCGTTAGGTGAACTGCAGCAGCACTTTAAATCTTCCCGGCAAAAACATCCCGTCCTTCACATAAAAATCAGTCTACACGCTTAAAGACAACCTAGCAAGGTGCAAAAGGTTTTTTTTTTGTTTCTTGACAAGCTGTTCACCCATTGGCAATAAAAAAAGATGGCGGTTAGATGCTATTGCACTAAGTGAAAATATTATTTTCTTTGCAATAAGTGTAAATAGTAGTTAGATATAGTTATACTTATAAATAGTGGCAGATACTATATGCACCTCAGTGCTGTTGTACATTAACCTGTATGCAATAATATATATATATATATATATTTATTACAATTATTCAATGGATACCACCTAATTGGGACAATAAAGCCCTCCCTAACCCTAACCGATAAACACTTAATTATTAAATACACTTTATTTCCACTTTTCTTCATTATTATTGAGAATAAATGCCTTTCCGATCTGATATGTGATGGGAAAAAGGAGAAGAGCGAGTCAAACATGGGAAAAAAAGCCATTAATGCATGAATAAAAAACACTGGGTTAAAACAACCCAAGGGCTGGGTAAATATAGGACAGAACACATGCTGGGTTCATTTTACCTTGCGAGTTGGGTTGTTTATTTAGCCCATCATACTCGGTTGATTAATTTTTACTATAGTACTACTCTAAAAAAAAATGCTGGGTTGTTTTAACCCAACTTTGGGTCAAAGCCAAGCAAATGGGTTACATTTTTTTAATTACGTTTTTAACCCAATGTTTGGGTTTGTCCGTATTTTACCCAAAATCGGATGAATTAATGTTTACGGATTAACTTAAATCCTCGTAACTAATAAAATAATCTACAGAATCACTGGTTTGCGTGATAATTCCTTTATTTTTTTTATTACTTTTACGTTATGGACCTTTAAGCATAAGCTCATTTTAATCAATTCCTCATCCGATATCGCTTTGCTTCCCGAGTAAATGTGTCCTGATTTAAGAATGTTTGTACAGGAAAACAAGAAAAAGCACATAAATGTTTTGCAGTGCAGGTAGGGATGCACGATATATCGGCCAGCATATCGGTATCGGCCGATATATGTTCATTTTTAATGTTATCGTTATCGGCCTGGTAGGAAAATGTGGCCGATATATTAAAACCGATAAATAATGTATTATTCCCTTCAGCTGAGACACTTGTTGAGCACTGTTTATGTTTTTGAATTTCTTGAAATATAATTGAAATCTCTTAAAAACATGTGCAGCGCAAAATCTGTCATATGGGCTATACAACACTATAATGAGAACATCATTATAATTTTGCGCTTGGGACGTGGATTTAATTGTGAGACTTTTGTATTTGTAATCAGGCTCTCAAAATTAGATAAAAATTTGGATTTAAGTTTATTGGCCGATATATTGGTTACCGGCTTTCAAATATAAAGAATTATCGGTTATCGATATCGGCTAAAATTTTCATATCGGTGCATCCCTAAGTGCAGGTATATTGTCGTGTTGATGTATTTGACATGAACGTAACTCTTGTTTGTGGTGTTATCCAGGCGAAGACGGTTCCTCCTGATGAACAGGGGCCAAGTGTAAAGAACCTGGACTTCTGGTCCAAACTCATCACCCTCATCGTCTCCATTATAGAGGAGGACAAGAACTCCTACACACCCTGTTTAAACCAGTGAGTGTGTGTTCATCCCAAGCTCTCTCTTGAATCAACACTGACTCAAACTGCAGTTCCTCCACTGGCCACTAGAGGCGCTGCAGAAGAGAGTCAGTCCCATTGACCTGCATGTTAAAATGGCCAACTTTACAGCAGAAATAAACATGTTTACAGTGTTTTTGGTCTATATCGCTAATTTTGCCCTTCATGACGACTGTGAGACGGGTGAAATATTTTATAACTCATCCGTTTAAATTATATTAAGCCTTATTAAAGCGCTGCATAATTAAGGGCGTGGCCACTTGAGTGACAGGTGGATTCCTGCTGATGTCACTGCTAGCTTCGTGTCACCTCAGCTAATCCGCCTCGCTGCACATTTACGTTATCCGGGAGTGATGCGGCCAAGATGGCGACGGCTGGCTCCGCCCACTTTGGGCTTCAAAAATGCTCTTCAGAAACACTACGGGTGACATCACACACACACACACACACACTACGTCCATATTTTTTTTACAGTCCATGGTTCAGAGCCGAGATAATGATGCTAAAAATTTGGGTTCCGAATTTGAAGTTGATATCGCAAAAATTGAGGTTCAATACCTAATTTATAGGGGTGTATCACTATATATCACAATACAAAAATACAACAATATATATCGGGGATAGTGACATTAAATATTGTGGATAGTTCACCAAAAATAAAAAAATTCAGAGTTTTAGTGTCAGAACTATTAAACTACTGTATAATGTTGAATATAATGTATAATAATGCAGTGTGTGTCCTGATAATGCCGAATATCTGATGTCACCAGTAAAAAGTGACCAACATTGTATTAAATATATCTAGTCAGTGATAGTGAAAGGATATTGGTCTAAAATAATTCAGTATTTCAGCTTCAGAATCATGAATATTGTTATTCTGGCGTCTCTATTGTCCTGTGTCTAAATCCAAAACTATTCATTTACACACACGATGTAACATCACATTTATGGACAGTTTTTGTTTACGTTTTATCATATGTCTTGGAGTATCGCAATAATATCGTATCGTGAGTTCAGTATCGAATCGTTACATGAGGGCATCATTACTCCCTTATTCATTTATGATGATTACTAAAGTAAAAAAGCACCAAGTTACACTGACAGTTCCCAATGGTTGAAGTGATTTACAGTGGTGTGAATAAGTGTTGGCCCCCATGCTAAAGTTGCCTAAAAAGAGGAATAAAAAATCATCTTTTGGATATTGATCTTAATGCCTTAATTAGAAAAATGAGGAAAACTCCAACCTTTAAGGACACCAATTTTCTTTGTGAATGAATAATGTATCATAAATAAATAAATGTTTTTCCTTAAAATACAGGGTGCATAAGTCATTGCCCCCCTATGTTAAATTCCCATAGAGTCAGGCAGATTTTTATTTTTAAAAGCCAGTTATTTGATGGATCCAGGATAATATGCATCCTGATAAAGTTCCCTTGGCCTTTGGGATTAAAATATCCCCACATCATCACACATCATCCACCACACCTAGAGATTGGCATGGTTTTACTTCAGTTAGCCTAATAGCTGGTTTGATTTGCATTGAAAGATGATCTTATGGAAAGTAAATCTCAAGGCATGGTGGAAGGTGTGTGATGATGTGGGGATATTTTAATCCCAAAGGCCAAGGGAACTTTATCAGGATGCATATTATCCTGGATCCATGAAATAACTGGCTTTTAAAAATAAAAATCTGCCTGACTCTATGGGAATTTAACATAGGGGTGTCCTGACTTATGACCCTGTATTTTAAGGAAAAACATTTATTTATTTATGATACATTATTCATTCACAAAGACAATTGGTGTCCTTAAAGGTTGGAGTTTTCCTCGTTTTTCTAATTAAGGCATTAAGATCAATATCCAAAAGATGATTTTTTTATTCCTCTTTTTAGGCAACTTTAGCATGGGGGCAAACACTTATTCACATCACTGTGCAAGAGTTAAGCAGCTGATATGAATGAAGTGTGTGTGTGTGTGTGTGTGTGTGTGTGTGTGTGTGTAGGTTCCCTCAGGAGCTGAACGTGGGAAAGATCAGTGCCGAGGTGATGTGGAACATGTTTGCTCAGGATATGAAGTATGCTATGGAAGGTAAACGGACACACACACACACTGCACGTGGTATCCTCATAGGAGTGTTTACGTTTCAATGATGCCGTGTACAAAGAGTTTTACTTTAGCATGAGGATAATATTAGTGCCGACTCTCTTGCACAACTGAATCTGAATCACAACTGACGAGTGCTATAGCCAATCAGAACACAGCATACGCTGTCCGTGGCATGTGATTGGTTCGTAGTAGAATGTCAGAATACTACACTGAGATCAGACTTGCTTGTTAAAATGTGTTCTTTTCTTCATATAATGTATATATTTTTAACTTACCTATTATGTTTTACAATATGCTATTATTTATTTATTTGTATCTATTACATTAATTAGTATTTTCTCTCTTATCACTTTGCTAATGTTTTAGTTTTGTTGTAATTTGAGGTTTGTTTGAATCTGCCTTCTTTATTTACTTGTTTCTTTCTATTTATTATATTATATAATTATATTAACTATTATTATTTGTGATTTATTGATTTGTTTATTTAAAATTTCTCTTTGAGTTTTGTTTAAACCCGTCTCGAAATGTTTATTTTTCTATTTTTTATTTATTTTAATTTTTTTAAGAAAAAATTATTAGCTTATATTTCAGTATATGATATTATAAGTGATTTTTCTTTACTTATTATTTCTTGACACTTCTAACATTGTTTTATTTTTGTCATAATTTAAGGTTTGTCTCAGATAATATTTTAATAATATAATATCTCTACACTTCTTTGACAAGCTTATGTTTTTAGTTCTGCTTTGTGAATCTGTCTTGACAAGTTTATTTATTTACTTATTTTGTTTTGTTAATTTCTTTCAATATACATTTATCCATTTCTATTTATTATATTAATTAATATTTTTTGTGATTTATTTATTGTTTTTTATATATTTTTTACTTTTTAAAATGTGCATTAATCTATTTATTTGTATTTATTGTATGTGATTTTTTTTTTAATTAAAATTGCTTGAATCTCTGTCTTAAAATCTTTTTTTTTTTCTGTTATGAATTTATATTTTTATTGAATTATTTTTATGATTATTATATGTTTGTTATATGATTATTATATTTATTTACTTTTTTCTCTCGTCACGTCTTTGTTTTAGCGCTATCATAATCTGAGGTTTAATTGCATTTTTCGGAGAAAGAAGTGAGTGTTAAGAGGTCTGGGAATCAAACTCCACTTCTCATGTGTGATGAATCGTGTTTTCTGTGCTCTACTTCCTGTCTGTCAGAGCACGAGAAACAACGTCTGTGCAAGAGCGCCGACTACATGAACCTGCACTTCAAGGTGAAATGGCTTTACAACGAATACTGCAAGGAGCTGCTGTACTTCCAGGACCGTGTGCCGGAGTACCCGGCGTAAGAGCGTTTCTTATAGACGAGTAGTGTGATAGTGTGTGTCTCTCAGCGTCTGAACCGCTTTATCTGTGTGTGGACAGATGGTTTGAGCCCTTCGTGATCCTATGGCTGGATGAGAACGAGGAAGTTTCCAGAGATTTCCTGCACGGCGCTCTGGTCCGGGACGCAAAGGACGGGGTAAATATCATCCTGGTGTTTTATCACAAGTCCAATTAGCCTAAAATATTCATAAAACCGACCACAAACTTGTGCAAAAGCAATTCTGGAGACCCGAGTTTAAACAGAAAATATGATTTTGAAATTATAAATAATAGACTCACGCTCATATACAAACGTAGACTGCCACTATTAAGGTAATGCAATATCAATAAGAATCACTCTGATTCACTTTAAAGTCCCTGTAGTCAATCATTTCATCCCATAAAACTCATCTTTGATCACCAAAATTACATATTTTGTAGATTCTTCATGCCTTAAAATATCTTGAATGTAACTCGACACCCTTGCCTCATTTAGTATGCATGGTTCTATGAATATGCAAATGAGCCCCGCCTCCCCTCACTCACTGGTTGTCGATCACACGTTGATCTGATTGGTTACAAGGTCGTTTGTGACGTCAGAAACACCAGCGATTTCAAAGCGTGTTTTTGAGACTGTCTTTAGTTTTAAGGAGGAAATATGAACTTCACTTATGAACTTACACATGGTGTGTGTTAAAGCGAATTAAATAGACACATAAACAACATTAAAAGATGCATTTTCACCACAGGGGGACTTTATAATTTATGTATTATATATAATATTTCCTAATTTAATTCAAGGATTACCAAACTTCCTCCCTGAGATTTGAAGTTAATATTTAAATAATTTAACAACACAACACACACTGAAAAAAATGTATTTCTGCTCTGGTTTTTGCTCTGGTTCAAGATACTTTTACTTGAGATGGGAAATTACTGAATATATTAAGTCAATATTTTAAGAGTTTTAAATTTTATTTGATATATATATATATATATATATATATATATACAGTTATTGCTTAAAACTAGGGCTGTCAAACAATTAATTGCGTCCAAAATAAAAGTTTGTGTTTACATAATAAATATATATATATATACACACACATATGCATGTATATTTAAGAAAAAAATATTATTTATATCTAAAATATTTATATATATATAATATAAATCTATATACAGTATATACTTGAAAATATTTCTTAAATATATACAAGCATGTGTGTGTATTTATATATATATATATATATATATATATATATATAAAATAATTATACACAGTGTGCTCACATATATTATGTAAAGACAAACTTTTATTTTGGATGCGATTAATTGCGATTAATCGTTTGACAGCCCTACTTAAAACAAGAACAAATATCTGCCGATGAATTATTGGTATTTCTTATTTTTAAGCATGAACTCAACTTAAAACAAAAACGCAATATCTTCAGTCATTTTGCTTCTTCATAAATGCGTCTTGATTTATACATTTTTAGATATTTGAATTGTTTTTCACGACATGCAGCTAGACAAATAAAACCGTCTTTAGTGAGTGTTTTAAGCGGTTGATTTGAATGAATGAATGAATTTATTTATTTGATCAGGGACAATGCACAAAAAATCATTGATCTAAGAAAGAAGAGATGACATGTGCCAGGTTATAGCAAAAAATATGCTAGTTTCTGCCTCCAGTCCCTGGACAGGTTGATGGTATACTTACAACAATTAAAAATTATATACAAAATTATAATACACAGTTGATTCGAACACAGAAGCATTTGTCTTGTGTGTGTGTGTGTGCAGTTCCAGCCGACGTCGGAGCACGCGCTCTTCTCCTGCTCGGTGGTGGACGTCTTCTCTCAGCTCAACCAGAGCTTCGAGATCATCAGGAAGCTGGAGTGTCCGGATCCTCAGATCGTGGGGAATTACATGAAGAGGTTTGCTAAGGTGACACGCGATCACGAGTGTGACGAGTTCATTCAGTCAGGGGGGTTTTATAAGTCAATACGGTATTATTATTGGTCTTTTGCTCGCACTAAACAGTGCCTCCATTATGCTTTCTCAGATATTCCCTTTCATGCAGTGTGTATTAAAGCTGTTTGTGAATGTAAAAGATCTGTGCAGATAATAATAATAAACTTTATTTATTTTAATAATAATAATAAACTTTATTTAATTAAATTTAATAATAATAATAAACTTTATTTAATTAAATGTAATAATAATAATAATAAACTTTATTTAATTTAATTTAATAATAATAAACTTTATTTAATTAAATTTAATAATAATAATAATAAACTTTATTTAATTAAATTTAATAATAATAATAATAAACTTTATTTAACTTAATTTAATAATAATAATAATAAACTTTATTTAATTTCGTTTAATAATAATAATAATAATAATAAACTTTATTTAATTTCATTTAATAATAATAAACTTTATTTAATTAAATTTAATAATAATAATAAACTTTATTTAATTAATTTTAATACTAATAATACTAATAATACTAATAATAAACTTTATTTAATTTAATTTAATAATAATAATAATAAACTTTATTTAATTAAATTTAATTTAATGATAATAATAAACTTTATTTAATTAAATTTAATAATAATAATAATTAAACTTTATTTAATTTCATTTAATAATAATACAAATAAACTTTATTTAATTTCGTTTAATAATAATAATAATAATAAACTTTATTTAATTTAATTTAATAATAATAAACTTTATTTTATTTAATTTAATAATAATAAACTTTATTTAATTAAATTTAATAATAATAATAAACTTTATTTAATTAAATTTAATAATAATAACAATAAACTTTATTTAATTTAATTTATTAATAATAATAATAATAAACTTTATTTTCTATAGCACCTTTAAAAGTAGCATCTCAAAGCGCTTCACAAGAATAGAAACATGATCAAACATACAATTATACAAACAATGCATTCATGACAGAAAAAAATAAAATACCAAATAAAAACATATTATGAAATGTTCGAATAATAATAATAATGTGGCAATATGCTTGATAAAGCAATCACGTTTGTGGAGTGGTTGAAATGGGCCGATGTGGGTTGCGATTGTCACTCCTGAACTGTGTGTGTGTGTACAGAACGTGAACTGACTTTATCTGCAGTGTGAACGTGGCTAATGCAAATCCATCAAATATGAGACAAACTCAGTATCTCTAATAGACCATAATGTCATGTGTTGTTGTATTAAAGTTGAACGGTTCCTCTAATCACGCGACTGTTTTTCTTTCTTTCAGACCATCGGAAATGTTCTTCTGTCGTATGCTGACATCATCACCAAGGATTTCCCCACACACTGCAAGAAGGAGAAAGTGGTGCGTCACATTCATGCATTTACATTTATAACAGGCTCATAATGAAATCTCTTGGGATGTGTGTGTGCTGGTGAGCTATTAGATGGAGATATTGTAATTATTGGAGTGACTCTCAGAGGAAGACACACACACACACGACTATGAATTTTTCACATTTAGCACTATTCGTTGCTTTCTATTGCTGCAGGGATTTCTTTAATAGCTTGTGTGTGTTAATGTTATTTAACTTCCTCTACTCTGTTATTTTCAGCCTTGCATCATAATTAATAATATCCAGCAGCTGCGAGTCCAGTTGGAGAAGATGTTCGAGGCTATGGGAGGGAAAGGCGTGAGTTCACTTTAAAACATGAAATCTTGAAGATTTCTGAAGTCCCATGATGCTTTGCGTGAAGATTTTTTTTTTTCTTCACAAATTTGGGGTCACTACAATTTTTTATGAAAGAAGTCTCTTATTATAATTATTTATTGGTACCACTTTACTTGAATGGGTGTGCATAATCTTTTGTGACATTATTATCGTCACTTTTGATTATTAATTTCAATATTTAATTTGAACGGTAGTTTATATGTAAATAGGGTGCGTCAGGATACAGTCCGATCTGGTTTGATGTCAATAATAGCAAACATCATTGGCTCCAACATGGAAACTGGATATTACAAACCAAATTGAAGTTTATGAAAGTGCACATGAGATATGATCACTTATATTCAGTGTAAAAACATCATATTTCTCTGCATCAGGCGGAAGCAATCAGTCTGTAAATACATTAGTTTAACTCTTTTTATTGGTGTTTTACCAATCAGAAAGAAAATGGATAACAATACAGAGTATTTTTTTTAAATGCAAAAGATATCAGTAAATACATTAAAAATAAATAACAAAGTAATACATATTACAGGTTCAGAAATCCATGTTTTCATTCATTCATCAAACATCAGAGTCTCGTCCCTCCTGTTCTGTTCATCCATAAATTCTCGCATAAAACATTCCCACACTCCGTCTTTAGCACAATCTCAGATCTTGCCATTTTTACTTTTTTATCCGAATTCTGAGATCTCACAAATTTTTACCTTTTTCTACGAATTCTGAGTTCTCGCAATTTTTACTTTTTTCTCCGAATTCTGAGTTCATATCTCGCAATTTTTACTTTTTTTCTCCGAATTCTGAGTTCATATCTCACAATTTTTACTTTTTTCTCAGAATTCTGAGATCTTGCAATTTTTACTTTTTTATCCGAATTCTGAGTTCTCGCAATTTTTACTTTTTTCTCCGAATTCTGAGTTCATATCTCGCAATTTTTACTTTTTTCTCCGAATTCTGAGTGTATATCTCGCAATTTTTACTTTTTTTCTCCGAATTCTGAGTTCATATCTCACAATTTTTACTTTTTTCTCAGAATTCTGAGATCTTGCAATTTTTACTTTTTTATCCGAATTCTGAGATCTCCCAAATTTTTACCTTTTTCTACGAATTCTGAGTTCTCGCAATTTTTACTTTTTTCTCCGAATTCTGAGTTCATATCTCGCAATTTTTACTATTTTCTCCGAATCTTGAGATCTCGCAATTTTTACTTTTTTCTCTGAATTCTGAGATCTCGCAATTCTTTAACTTTTTTCGCGGGGCTTCAGTTTTAAACGGATGCCATTGGCGGGAAACGAGCCGCAGTGCATGTTATAAAAGTCAGGTCACAATACAGATTCAAAGTTTACAGTGATAAACAGGAAAATGAATGTTGATTGTTGTAAAATAAATTAAAAAAACCAGCTCTACAGAAGACAATAGTTACAATATTAATCTCAGTTCAGTTCAATAATATTGTCAATGTGGCAAATCTCAACAATAGTGTCATAATTCAGCTCTAATCAATGCTATTTCCTAATATATTAGTTGTCTTTAAAACCCCAACTAAGCAAGATGAAGTTTTTACTACAGTTAAGTAAACATAGAAAATCAGACTCTGATAATTATATCAAATCATCCTCATAATTATGATTTTTTTTCTTTTTTTTGCAGTTAAATGTGGAGGCCAGTGACTTTCTGAAGGATCTGCAGATCAAACTGAACAATGTGATGGATGACCTCAGCAGGGTGTTCGCCGTCAGGTTGGTATTTTGTGGGTTCAAAGTTCTTGAAGTTATAATCTTATTTATGTTCTTAACAGAGTTTTTTATGTTTGTAGTATTAAGTTTTTAAATAAAAAAGTGCTTTCTCAGATGTTCCTGAAACGAGTCGTCAGTCATTCAGTCTCACTTCTTGCTGAACCTGCGCAGGTTTGGAACTAATTAGCATAATGCCAGCCTCTGGTCTTGATTGGCTGAACAGAGTCTCTTAGCTCCGCCCTCAAACACTAGTGTATCTGAGACTGGAAGAGTTCGGTTCGTGTTGTCCGTGTCAAGAGCTGAGATTCAGATATGATAATGAGTGTTCGGTTTCTGACCAATCACAGCAGACTGTGCCATCTGACCAATCAGAGCAGGGCAGCTCTCAGAGAGGCGGGGTTTAGAGAGACTGAATATTCAAATGAACCGGTTCAGACGCTGAGAGAAAAGAGCTGATGCTGCAGTGGAGATTATGAGGAAATAACACGTTTAAAATAGTATATTAGGGCCACTTTAAAATCCAAACTCCTCCTCCACTATAAGGTGATTGTCTCTGTGTGTAGTTTCCAGCCGCACATCGAGGAGAGTGTGAAGGAGATGGGGGATATCCTGAGTCAGGTGAAAGGAGCGGTTCCCGCTAACGGAAACGGCGGATTAGCTCAGGACGCCGACAACGTCCTGCAACCCATCATGGACTTCCTGGACAGCAAGTGAGCGACGCATGCGTAACCGTACTTCCTTTCACTGAGGACAGTTCTCTCACACGCTGCTAGATTCTGATGTCATCCGAATTAAAATCAGCTTGGATTGGGTCGAAATGAACTCACTGTAGTTTGTTTAACTTTATTACTTTTTGTCATACATCATTTTGGTCACACTTTATTTTAAGGTGTCCGTGTTACAGTGGAATTATACATTTATATTTATAAATATTAGGGCTGTCAGTTTAACACGTTATTAACGGCGTTAACGCAAACCCATTATAACGGCGTTCATTTTTTTATCGCGTGATTAACGGTCTTTTTGTCCTAGCAAACTTTGTAGTTTTTTTACCACGGCATGCGTCCTAATCCATTTCGGCGTCTCGCGCTCGTCGTCATCCACTCAAAGCCGGCTCGCAAGCCCAAACGTGTGTTTGCGGCGTGCCTGTTGTTTTGTTTCTGGTCTTGATCCGCTTGTGCTTTGGTCAAAGAAGCAACAAAACGTCCTCGCGCGGCGCAAGCCATTGACATGAATGGGTTTCAGAGCGCAGCGCGAGGACGTTTTGTTGCTTCTTCAACCAACCGTTTTTGTTGCTTCTTCTTTGCCGCACACACTCGTTTCGGCTTGCAAGCCGGCCAAACAGTAACGTTACGTTTTGAGTGGATGACGAGCGCGAGACACCGAAATGGATGCCCTAAAATTCTGAATAGAAAGTTTATTTTTAAAAAGTTGCCATATTGTCCCGTTGACAAGACCAAAGTGATCTGTGTGTTTTGTCGTTGTGAACTGAGCGATCATCATCGCAGCACGTCCAGTCTGAAACACCACTTGATGATGGCCAAGCAAACAAACACACACACACACACACAGATGATGCGAATTCTCCGCCCCCTCGCCAATATCAGGACCTCGTCAGTATTTCTTTCACCCTTTTATTGATAGACAGTGTTATTGTGTGAGAGATTATTTATAGGCTATATGTTAGTGTGAAATTGAACACTATTTCAATGTTATTTTCAATAATAATTTTTCCACTTTTCCATATTGATAAGAGCATTAAAATGAGAGAAAAAAACAATGTAACAAAAAGAAATCAAGAGACATTTAGAATAGATAAAAATGTGCGATTAATCGCGAGTTAACTATGACATGAATGCGATTAATCGCGATTAAATACTTTAATCGTTTGACAGCACTAGTATATATATACACACGCACACTCACTCACACTCACAAAAAGACATACTCACACATAAACGCACACACTCACATATCTATTTTATAATGATGATGTCTGTGTGTCTGTGTGTTAATAATGATGTGTTTGTGTGTTAATAATGCTGATGTGTGTTCTTCCGTCAGTCTGACTCTGTTCGCTAAGATCTGTGAGAAGACGGTTCTCAAGCGAGTGTTGAAGGAACTGTGGAAACTGGTGATGAACACCATGGAGAAAACCATCGTCCTGCCGCCACTGACCGACCAAACGGTGTGTGTTCAGCACAAACACACACACACTGACTCAATCACTCACTCACTAAAACACACACACTCTCACTCACTGACTCACACACACCGCTGTAGTGATCCTGCCTTCTCAGAGTTTATTTACTGCACATGTAATCAGACGCTAGTTCATCGTGACTTTCATTCTTCTCTTATTTCTCTTCATCATCATCATTCTCTTGTCCATCTTTCACCAGATTGTTGTAAGTATAAATCTGTGTGTGTCTGTCTGAGGTGTGTGTGCGTGTGTGTCATTTGGTCTGATTCTGTCGTTCTGCCTCCAGATCACCATCATCTCTCTCTCTCTCTCCCTCTCTCTCTCTCAATTTCAATTCAATTCAATATAGCTTTATTAGCATGACTGTGTAACACAATGTTGCCAAAGCATCAACATATTATATATAAATAATAGAACAAACACACAGAACATATATGTATGGATCACGTCATATAGATCATGTCATATATATCTCTCTCTCTCTCTCTCTCCCTCAAGCATGACACACAGAGATTGTCTTCTGTTAATCCTGTTGGATGTCTCCCGTTACACACACACACTCTTCTCAGCCTGAACTTCCTGTCTCTCCTCTCACTACTTCCTGTTTCTCTGTGTTTCTCTGTAACTGTAATCCAGCAGAGCGAGTCTGGATCAGGGTTTCAATTGTCACCTAAAACCATTAAACATCTTCGTTACTTGAAATAAAACAGTCCTATATATATATATATATATATATATATATATATACTGTATATATATATATTTTAGGAACTTCGAGAAATTGTAGTGTTTTTTTTTTTTTGTTCTAAATAATTTTTTTCCTTCAGTTTTTACATTATTTTAATTAAATTTTTTTTATTTAATTAATAGCTTTTCATCAACTCACAAACTCTGCCTTTATCTGATTAGTTGTAATCGCTGTAAACAACTGTTGATGAAAATGCTTTGCAATTCCATGCATTATTCCCGCACATGTGAGAAAATAATATCCAATCAGTTTTACCAACTTACTATACAAGTTAATATACTTATGATTAAAAATCTGACGTTCATGTAAATCTCCAGCTGATTCCTCTGGTCCATGTGAAGCAGTAACCACAGACGAGTGTTAATTAATGACTTCTCTCTGTGTGTGTGTGTGTGTTCCTGGTTTGTAGGGCACACAGCTCATCTTTAACGCTGCTAAAGAGTTGGGTCAGCTCTCCAAACTAAAGGTGCGTTCATAAAGAAAGGAGTTTTAACTATGCAAGCTCGTTTCTGCCACATTTTGACTTTTTGTCTCACAATTCTGACTTTGTTTCTCACAATTGCTCATTTATATCTCACAATTGCAATTATGAATCTTGCAATTAATTTTTTTCCATCATGGAGTAAAAATAAATGAAAAAGTAATTGACTTTTTATTTCCCCTACAATTTAACAAATGACATCTTGCAGATTTAATTTTTATTCTCAGACTTCTAAGTTTATATCTTGCAATTTTTACTTTTTTCTCCGAATTCTGGGATCTCGCAATTTTTACTTTTTTTCTAAGAATTCTGAGTTTATATCTCGCAATTTTTACTTTTTTCTCGGAATTCTGAGTTTATATCTCACAATTTTTACTTCTTTCTCAGAATTCTGGGATCTCGCAATTTTTACTTTTTTTCTCCGAATTCTGAGTTTATATCTCACAATTTTTACTTTTTTCTCAGAATTCTGGGATCTCGCAATTTTTACTTTTTTCTCCGAATTCTGGGATCTCGCAATTTTTACTTTTTTTCTCAAAATTCTGAGTTCATATCTCGCAATTTTTACTTTTTTCTCCGAATTCTGGGATCTCGCAATTTTTACTTTTTTTCTCAAAATTCTGAGTTCATATCTCGCAATTTTTACTTTTTTCTCCGAATTCTGGGATCTCGCAATTTTTACTTTTTTTCTCAGAATTCTGGAATCTCGCAATTTTTACTTTTTTCTCCGAATTCTGGGATCTCGCAATTTTTACTTTTTTTCTCAAAATTCTGAGTTCATATCTCGCAATTTTTACTTTTTTCTCAGAATTCTGGGATCTCGCAATTTTCACTTTTTTTCTCCGAATTCTGAGTTTATATCTCGCAATTTTTACTTTTTTCTCGGAATTCTGGGATCTCACAATTTTTACTTTTTTTCTTCGAATTCTGGGATCTCGCAATTTTTACTTTTTTCTCCGAATTCTGGGATCTCGGAATTTTTACTTTTTTTCTCATAATTCTGAGTTTATATCTCGCAATTTTTACTTTTTTTCTCAGAATTCTCAGTTTATATCTCGTAATTTTTACTTTTTCCTCTGAAATGTGAGTTTATATCTCGCAACTTTTACTTTTTTTCTCAGAATTCTGAGATCTCACAATTTTTACTTTTTTCTCAGAATTCTCAGTTTATATCTTGAAATTTTTACTTTTTTTCCCGAATTCTAAGTTTATATCTCACAATTTTAAACTTTTTTTTTTCTCAGACTTCGGAGTTTACATTTCACAATTTTTACCTTTTTCCTCAGAATTCTGAGTTTATATCTTGCAATTTTTCACTTTTTTCTCAGATTTCTGAGTTTAATCTCGCAATTTTGATATTTCTCAGATTTCTGAGTTCATATAATAAACACTCCTGACTAGACTTTCATAAGGATGCTGTCTGTTTGTGTCTGTTAGGAGCACATGGTGCGAGAGGAGGCCAAGGCGTTGTCCCCTAAACAGTGTGCAATCATCGAGCTCGCACTGGACACTATAAAGGTACATGCACACACACGTTCAGAATCAGCCTGCCTGTAATCAGGACACTGACAGGGTTTTTTGTGTGTGTAACAGCAATACTTCCACGCGGGTGGTGTGGGTCTGAAGAAGACGTTTCTGGAGAAGAGTCCGGACCTGCAGTCTCTGCGATATGCACTGTCTCTCTACACACAGGCCACCGACAAACTCATCAGGAAGTTTGTCCAGTCTCAACACACTCAGGGTGCGTCACAATCTCATTATGTTTTTGCATTCTAGGACTGATGTTTTGTATTTAATTTTGCCCTGTTGTTTCTGTGTTCTTGTTTCCTGTGTTTAGTTTCTGTTTCCTTTGTTCTAAGTTGTGTCCCAAATGAGGCATTATACACTTACACACTACAGGTGAAACCTGAAAAATGTGAATCTAGTGCAAAAGTTACTTTATTTCAGTAATTCAACTTAAAATGTGAAACCAATATATTATATAGACTCATTACATGCAAAGTGAGATATTTCAAGCCTTTATTTGTTATAATTTTGATGATTATGGCTTACAGATTATGAAAGTTTTCACAATATTCTAATTTTTTGAGTTTCCCTTGTATGTACTTCTGTACTCAATCGTGTAGTGTATGAACTTTATATGGTTATTTTGCCATTCATCATCAGAGTCTGAAGCCCCTCCCCCTCTGTTGCGTAATTAAAGCTGAAGCGTCCAACACTCCACACTTCGTTTGATTGGTTAATTAAAAGCACCATCTTGGCATTTAAAGTGCATTATTTCTATTTGCCATTTTCAGTGTGAACACACTCGCTCTTTATACTAAAAAATGACAGTGCATAACTATACGAATTGTGACAAAGCTCTAGTCCTTGTTTGTGTCTATAGTTACTGATTATGTTATGTATTATATTTTTCCCACTATTTTTTTTAAAATAGTAACATTTTTAAAAATTATATATATATTTTTAGAAATATTATTTATTAATTTATTATTTTTCTATTTTTGTTTATAAATATTTAAACTTGTTTATATATATAAATATGAACTTATATTTATTTTATATAAAATAGCTAAATTTATCAGAAATTGTCAGAGATTTTAGATTAAGATTTTTATTAATTAATTTCCCTTTTATTGGTTTTTATTTATGATTTATAAAGGCATAATTTTCTATTTTATGTTTATAAATATCCTAGTATAAATGTATTTATATTCAGATATAAATATATTTTTGAATTTATATTTCTTTTATTTAATTTACATTTGTTTTTACAAAATAGTTGAATTTATCAGAAATGATTCAGAATGATTTTGGCTGCTGCAAATGGATTTTCAGGTGTTTATGATTTATGAAGGGCATATTTTAGCCAACTTATTTACATTTTATATCAAACACTGTAATTTATCATAAATCAGTGTTGCGACTTATTCACAATACACCACAGCCACAGTACCTTATTGATTACATATCTATCTATATGTGTGTGTGTGTGTGTGTGTGGTCTGTTTCTCTTTTTCCTCACACATGTCAGTGATGATTACGTTCTCTTCCTATTCTCTTTAGTTCATGGCGGTAAAGGCGTGCGATACACTCACAGTGAAGACGTTTATCCGGAGAAAGGTACGTGTCCGCAGAGCATTGATATTAATGCATGCAAATATTCATTTACATATTCATGTGAATATTATGGTCTGCATAGAAGCATCTAGCTGAAATACACTGTGAGATTTACCCAAACTAAAAGAAGTTTTTTGCATGTAATTTGCATCTAATTTCGACAAGAATCATGTTCACATGAGAGTCTCAAATATGATCATCTGGCTTTTAAGGAAGGATTATTAGTCTCAATCATCATGCATTGCATTATTATTATTATTATTTTTTTTAAACAGTGATTTGATCACAAAACTAAGCATATAAATATCATCTAAAAGACATATTGTTGGCAGATACTGATGTGTAATGCCTGTTGTGCACACACTGCCCTCTGCTGGATCAGCCTCTAATAGCAATCCTTTAGATGTTTAGCAACTTTTTATGAGTATTATAGTTGGCCCCTTTGCTATTTCTTTATGAGGGAGTATTTATATTTATAATATTTATAATGGCATAAATTCTACGTGGGATCTCAATATCTCAGCTCTGGAAGGGTCTAGAGCCTCCATTTTTGCACGCAGGTCTAAGTCTCATGGCCCTCTATCAGAATCCAGAGTTTCAAGAAGATTGGAGAAACTTAATTTCTCACCCCGAAAAAAAAAAATGAAAAGGGTACCTCTGTCGTTTTTTTTTTTTTTTCGTGTCGAAATTTTGAATTGATCTGATCTTCTTGAAACTCTGGATTCTGATAGAGGGCCGTGAGACTTAGACCTGAGTGTAAAAATGGAGGCTCTAGACCCTTCCAGAGCTGAGATATTGAGATATTTATAAGATAGTTCCCAAATGCATGATAATCCTGTAGGCTATTAAAACAGAAGCGACAGAAAACGTATTCATGCTCGACCTTTGACCCTCAGCCTCAGGAGTGGACGATGCAGTGGGGGAGGTGTCCATGACGGTGGAGATCTTCAGTGACCCGAACACGGGAGGACACAAAATCACAGTCAAAGGTGCTTTATATGCCTTTACATCTCTCTCTCTCTCCATCCGTGTCAGGATCACTTTAACACATCTTACACTCGCGGAAGCCCCAAAATTATACTCCAAATTTTATTTTTTTTCATTTTTGCCCAGGAAGCTTATTTTAACCCATCGTCATCATTTGTTTCCTATTTTTAATGCATTTTTTGTTACTTTTTAAATTTTATTTACCTTTAAATGACTAGATTTGATCAATAAATAATAAAGGCTGAGTTTAAGTGTGTGTGTGTGTGTGATTGACAGTGGTCTCAGCCAATGATCTTCGCTGGCAGACGCAGGGGATTTTCCGGCCCTTCGTGGAGGTCTACCTCATCGGCCCGTATCTCAGCGACAAGAAAAGGAAGTTCGCCACCAAATCCAAGAACAACAGCTGGTCCCCGAAGTTCAGCGAATCCTTCCAGTTGTAGGTTTCTAACACACACCGGTCGCTCTTATACACTGACACTTTATATTGAAGCTCCAAAAATCAGCGTTTGCATGCCATGTGTTCAAGAGAACAAAAATCGGAGCAAAATATCAGTAATAAAAATATAAGTTACGGCAAAAAAAGTTTATCCACCTCAAATTAGTTTTTTTTTTTTTAACGTTTTGTTAGAAATATAGCTATTGATTTATTCATGCATATTTTCCTTTTTTAAAGTGTATCAATATATTTATATTTCTATGTTTTTAGTAATTTTTATTTATTATTTGATATCAAATATTTATTAGAAATGAATTCATCTGAGTAATTTTGGATGCTACTAATTGATTTTTAACTACAACAATAACAAAAAGAAATAAGTATAAAAATGTGTAAAACTAATACTATTAAAAAATGTTTTCTTTAATTTAAATAAATAACACATAATTCAGTTGAAATGGAATAAATTATAAATATTAGATGAAGAACTTGAAAATAAAAAAATTGGACAACTAAAATTACTATAAAAAGTGGAATAAAAATAAATTAAAGTTATATAGATGTATTAAAAAATATAAAAAAAACTTCTAAAAATGACTACAATTAAAATGAAAATAAATAATTATTAAAAATATTAATATATACTGTAATAATATATTATTAATAATGAAAATAATACTGATTACAAAATTTTTAAATAATAGTAAGTATTAAATAGTAAGTATAAAATAGTAAGTAAGTAATTTGTAAGTATAAAACTTTGTGAAACTGATACTATTAAAAATCATTTTCATTAATTGAAATAAATGCATAATTGAATTAATTGAAATGCAATAAAAAATAAATATATGATGAAGAACTTAACTAAAGAAATAATTTGGACTAAAATTACAATAACAAATAAAAATAAGAATAAAGTTACATAGATATATTAAAAAATGAAAAATGTCGCAGAAGCCCAACAAAACTGAAAATAAATAGTCACTTCAGATGTTTTAAAATACCAAAATAGAATTATTTTCAAGTATAAAAATGAGTGAAACTAATACTATCAAATGTTCATTCTTTGAAATAAAAATGCATAATTGAATGAATTTAAATGCAATTATATAAAATTTCTATAATTAAAATGAAAACGAAAGCATGTGGATCTGGCCTGTAATGGTGTATAAATGTGTGTGTGCAGTGTGCTGGGCAGCGAGCTGGGCCCCGAGGGCTACGAGCTGCAGGTGTGTGTGAAGGATTACTGCTTCGCGCGCGAGGACCGGACGGTGGGGCTGAGTGTGCTGCACCTGAAGGATCTGGCGTCGCGCAGCAGCGCCGCCTGCTGGCTGCCGCTCGGCACACGCGTGCACATGGACGAGACCGGCCTCACCGTGCTCAGGATCCTCTCGCAGAGGAACAACGACGAGGTCGCCAAAGAGTTCGTCAAGCTGAAGTCGGACCAGCGCTCGGCCGAGGAGGGCAGAAGCTAAAGCTAACGCTAACGCTACACGCCAGAAACTGTCCTGCAAAACACACGATCATGACCGGGGTTTGAAATTAACACACACTAACCCGCCAAATGCCACTGTGGCGGGAAACGCCGTCAAATCACGAGCTAATGTAGCCGGTTACTTATTATTATTATGTTTATTCACTAGTTTGTGTAAATTTAGCACAAATACTCGCGAGTCGTCATGATAACACTAAATGTGGCGTATTGATTGATTAATCAGATGACACTGAAAACAAAACTTGAATTGCACTGAATAATTACGCTGTTGTTTTCATATTTGTTTCATAATTAATTAATTTAGCAAACACAGTTAGTGCATTAACTGTCGTTTACTAACAATTAGCAATACATTTAGAAATAATGTCACAATGCAAAAAAAAAAAAAATTCTTTTTTTTTTTAGAGAAATGTTGGCTAGAAACTCAAAAGTAAAACATCTGGACACATTCGAGTAATTAAGATAACATTTATGTATGCAAGCAGAGTTTCAAATGAGTGTAAAAGATTCGATTTATTATATTTACTCGCTTTGCTGGGGAAGTTCATATAAGTCAAATATGCGCAGATTTAGCACAAATACTCCTCATGATATATTAAATACAACATATTGCAGAATCTGCTCATATCTGGCTTACTTGAACCCACACACACACTTTAGTTTGTATTAGAATGTATGAAATCAGAATTTTATACTGTGCATAAATATAAGCTGTGACGTTTTTAATCTGGTTCATTTCTTTCTTTTTTTATTTTGGGATAGTAGAAGTTCTGAATGTTAACATTTAGAAGCCAAACCGGCCGGTGAGTGAACAAGTTAATTTCAAACCCTGATCCACACACACACACACACACAAGGGGGCGTATCTGCACAGATCAAAGCAATCTGATAATTATGATGTCAACTTGGAACATGGACCTCATTAGCAGATCATCATTCGCTCAGTCATATTACGACATCCTCCGCTGAGAAGATTGGAGATTTAACTCTACACGCTTTGTTTTGCACTTGAAGGGCCGCGTTTCAGTTTCACGGACGGCCCTGATGTTCAGCACAATGGTTTACTGTCTCTGATTGGTTGTCAACGGATCCCCTTGACCAATCAGAGAGCGCCACCTGCGCTCACGTCACACGAGTGTGTGATGTTCACGGGCCAGATTGAGGTCTTACAGATGAAGTTATGTGTCTTGAAATGTGTTAGGGCTGCACGATTAATCGGAGTAAAACTGTAAATGTGATATGGCGTAGTGTGAGTATCAATATAAGCGATGTGTGTTTCAGAGTGAAGCGGCGCTGTGTTGATTTACACACTCATTTATTTTACGTGTTTTTGAAAACATTTTCCCAAACCGGCCGCCGATACAAAAGACGAGCTTTGAAGCCTCCTGTGCATCTCCTAAATCAAAGTTCCATGGTTTAATGTTTGAAAATGATGAAATTATGTCATAAATATTGTTTATAACAAATAAAAAAAATATTTATTTTTAATTAAAAAAACATTACAGTGAAATATTACAAGAATAATATTTATTATTTTTTTATTATATTTAATATTTTTATCTGGTAATAAAAGTCAAACTCTCATGGTAGCCTTTTAACATTTCAAAATAAACAAATTAAGACAAAATAAACAAAATATATATATATTATTAATATTAGTTTGGGAATACTACATTTATATATATATATATATATATATATATAAATTCAATCATTATAATATTATTATTTGGGAATACTAAATTTATATATATATATATATATATATATAATTAATATACATATATATATATATATATATATATATATATATATTATTAATATACATACATATATATATATATATATATATATATAGATATATATATATATATTAAAATTCAATCATTATTATAATATTATTATTTTGGGAATACTAAATTTATATATATATATATATATATATATATTTATATATATATATATATATATATATTTATACATATATATATATATATATATTATTAATATACATATTAAAATTCAATCATTATTATAATATTATTATTTTGGGAATACTAATTTTTTTTTAGCAATATAGCAATATTTCCTTATTTTGTATTATATTTAACATTTTTATTTGGTAATAATTGTGCAATACGCTATATAAATAAATTTGACTATGCACATCATTTCAAAACAGCTTTACAGAAAATGTTGTTTAATATAAAAAATGATAAAAATAATTATTTTATAGTCTGAAAAATTGCACTTAAATTTTTTTCTCCAAAATTGTGCAGCCCTAAAACATCTCATTAACTGATTCTGACATCACGAAGTGAGCGCAGAAAACTATGATGTAATGTTGAGGTGATGTAATACCCCTCGCGATGATGTTCTGATCACATGCACACTCCCACAATGCATTGCGGCCTTGAGTTACCCACAAACCCCTTCCAGATCTCGGTGTCTTTTGCACTTTCTGCATGTCGAGTCCCGCTTTGGATGGTGTTTTCCACACGTCTGAGTCTTCAGCATGATGAAGATGAGCCTTAAACACACTGTGACTCCACTGCCGGTCAGACGCAGTGCATTATGGGGCTTTCGTTCGTTTCCTTGTTTGTTTGTGAGACTTCATGGCGAATCTTTTCTCGGAAATACTCCATAATAACCGAGGGGTTCATGTTTTTACAGGCGTTCGGATGATGGAGTCACGAGTCTGTCTATGATCGTTGTGAACGCTCTTTACTGTCGTCCGCTTCCGCTGAGACACGTCGAACACACACCTTTGACATTCAGGCCGACAGTATTACAAGACCTGAAATGTGTTTGTCTGGGCTGTGTCGTATCTGTAATGCTTGTTTCGTGAGTCTACTTCAATGATGCATAATTCTAGAGCAATATACTGGACTGGAACAGGAACGGATGCTTTAATAAAGGGATAATTCACCCAGAACTCATCGTAATTCTCTCCTAACTCACTGATCGAAGTGAGTTAGGAGAGAATTAACTAATTTTCCTCTCAGAAGTCAAATCAAAGACTTTAGATGCACAAAGAATTTCTATGAATGGGAGAAAGTGCAATGCGCAATATGGCGGAATAAGCCCCGCCTTCTAAATAAAAGAGCCAATCGCTGATTAGTAAAGTCGCAGCTCAGTTTGAGCACTTTTTGATGCTCAGATATTTATTTTGTTCCCAAATATGTTTGGAACGACACGATTTTCAGGTGAACTGTCCCTTTAAATGACTCATCCGTTCGAACTGCTCGGATGAACGTGGCTGGAATGAGCCAATCGGATCAGCTGTTATAGACTAAACCACAGTGCAATTAAGTGTCTTTGTAAAGTTAGTTGGTGGTTTCATTTAAACTGATTTAACACGTTTACACTGCAGAGTATTTGTATTCGCACTCGATACTTGCTGTACATACACGCTGTTAGAGGACCAATCGGTCGCTGTGATCCTTCATCACTCGTCTTTATACGAGTTCACGGGGTTATTGGGAATGATTAATCAGTTCACTACATTTTTTATTTATTTATGTTTGTATATGTATATATATATATATATATATATAAATACATATACAGACATTTTTTATATATTATTAGTGCTGTCAAGACGATTAATCGCATCTAACAAGTTTGTAAATATATTACATATGCGTGTATATATATATACACACAAACTTATGTATATATATATTATATATTCACAGACTTTTGTAAGATTATTCGAATTAACAGCTCTAATTTAATATATATATATGTATATGTGGGATTAATCGACTTGATGACACCAATATTAATATATATATGTGATTAATCTTGAATAATCGACTTGACAGCACTAATATATAGATATATATGCGATTAATCACTTATTAATTCGTGCTAAATTGATTAATCATGATTAATCGCATATAATCTATATATTAGTGCCGCCAAGTCGAGTAATCGCAGCTAAAATACGTTTGTAAATATATAATATATTCATATAAAAAATTAAAAATGTAAGTTTTTTGCACATCTGAAAACGTTATTTTACTATAATTTATATACTATCATAGTTTTTGTTAATATTTTTATGTCTATAAAGTTTAAGTTTTGATTATTTTAGTTCAATTTAAACTAAACGAAAATGAGAAACGTTGCCTTGGCAACTAGCTTTTTTGTAATTCAATTTAATTTCGAATAATGAAAATGTCTTCTGGCATTAGTTGACGATAATAACCCTTGTTTATGTTGACCATTTGTTGTTGACTTTAGCGTGTTGTATGTAGAGAATGCGATTTCTTTCTCAAACGAGCTTTAAAATCACTGATTTCCTGTGAAACCAAACGCAGCGCAGACATTGAATGTTGATTCACGCGAGCCTTGACGTTAGAAAGATGGTCGACGTGATTTAAAACGCCACACACACACACACGCTGAAGCACAAACGGGCATGAAGAGACTCATATGCATGCATGCATGCCCGCAGACGCTGTGAATAAAACCAAGTGCATGATGGGAAACCCAGTAAATCATTCCAGCACGCGTCTCAATGTTCCCCTGCCACAAACTGACCGACCCAATCGACTTTCCTCGTTCACTGTTCGTTTTTCAAAAGAAGAGCTTGTGAATAATGTCTCTGATGTCTTGGCATGAGTGGGTGTTTTTATACCGGGATGTTTCTAATTTTAGTTTTTAACCATTTTGATTGTTCTTAATGAGGATGATAGTGGATTATTGCAGCATTTGCTTCCTATTAAAACAATAATGATCAACTGACTGTGTGTTTCTTATTAAAAACCTGCATCGATGGAGAAGCAAGGTTTACTTAATGACTTTGTAATAAACTTAAGGACAAAAATGTATGTAAAGTGTCCAAGTCAACATCAAAAAATTGTGTTTGGGTCATTAATGTGAAAAGGTTTGAGTCTTTTTTTTTTTTTTAAATGTAAGTGAAAAAGAAAATTGGCAATAAATAGTTAAATTTAAGAACGCTTGTCCTTTCATTTTTTATTTGTCAGTGTTTTCCACATTAAAACCTTAAACGTTGTGAGATAAATGCTTCCAAGGTCAAAGGTCATCATACGGTGATTTTCCCCCATCATACTGAAGAAGTTAATTTCAATAGATTTTTTTTAATGTGGTTCATTTTAACAGTGATATTAAATATTGTTTAATGTTAGTGTGAAAATTTTTTTTGAATTGTTTGATGTAATTATTAATTATAATCTTAACAGAATAGCTTAATTTGCTTAATGAATCCCAAAATAAAATAATAGCAATCTAATAATAAACTCCAGATATATTATTTTTTTAAAGAATGAACCATTTAACAAACGTTTTTTTATTTAATTACGCGTTTACACCAGTTTCATGTTTTGGCCCTTTTGGCCTTCCATACTGGGCATCTGCATTCTCCATTGTGTTGTGCGTCAAGTTCAAGTGTTTCTCTTAGCGGAAATCGATGCGTACGGTTGTCTGCATCAAGCTAGCTATTTTAGTCGATAAATTTAAAAATTGATTTTTTTTCTTATACGAACGCATCGTTAACCTTCCTAACTTGAAAATAAAGCAAAATTAAATATTTTGGGGAATACAAAATGTTTTTAACTGCTACCTATTTAACCCATTCAGACCCTGTGCCCATTACAATGGACATCACATGTCAGCCCCCTTTTTTAACTTCTGGAGAATTTCACCTAGTTTAAAGCCTGCAGTCCATGAGATTGGACGTTTGTCATCCAATCAAATGCCAGTAAAGCTCTGCATTTTACATTTTGTATATATTTTTGCCAGTATTTCATAGTTAGTATGTAAAATAGAAAGATTGAACTTATTAAAGTTAAAAATCGACTGTAGAATTGCACATTTTAAATCAGGATTTTTTAAAATTTGTCTGTCCATTAGATGCTCTTTTATGATGGACAGATGCACTTTTATGATGGACGGATGCACTTTTGTGATGGACGGATGCACTTTTATGATGGACAGATGCACTTTTATGATGGATAGATGCACTTTTATGATGATAGATGCACTTTTATGATGGATAGATGCACTTTTATGTTGGACAGTTGTACTTTTATGATGGACAGATGCACTTATATGATGGACAGATGCACTTTTATGATGGATAGATGCACTTTTATGATGATAGATGCACTTTTATGATGGACAGATGCACTTTTATGTTGGACAGTTGTACTTTTATGATGGACAGATGCACTTATATGATGGACAGATGCACTTTTATGATGGATAGATGCACTTTTATGATGATAGATGCACTTTTATGATGGATAGATGCACTTTTATGTTGGACAGTTGTACTTTTATGATGGACAGATGCACTTATATGATGGACAGATGCACTTTTATGATGATAGATGCACTTTTATGATGGACAGGTGCACTTTTATGATGGACAGGTGCACTTTTATGATGATAGATGCACTTTTATGATGGACAGATGCACTTTTATGATGGATAGATGCACTTTTATGATGGACAGATGCACT